CCACTTCTGACCATCCAGAAACAGATGGTCAGACGGAACGTGCGAACCGTGTCCTCGAAGAGATTCTTCGAGGATATGTCCACTCGTTTCCGAGTTGGAGCGAATTCCTACCCATGGTGGAATTCGCCATCAATAATTCGGTGCATGCTTCAACACAGCACACACCGTTTTACGTGAATGGCCTACGCCATCCACGAGTGCCCACCCTTATAGAGTGTGACTCTTGGATAAGGGGGGGAGGGACTCGCTCGAGCAAAAACCGTTTTGGCTCTTGCTCATCACGTGTCGACGCAAACGTCGTCACGTATGATGCCGATGTCGATCAAGTCGACATCGATGAAGAAGATCATCTCAATAATAGCGACGACGCTATTATTGATTCGGATGATGATGACGATGCTGGTATATTCAGCATCGCCAACGATTATGTCAGCGAGGAAGAAGACAACCTCGCTGAAGAAGAGAGCAATCTCTTAGCAGTGCGCACGAAGCGCACTGCCAGACAAAACAAAGAGTCAGCAGAGAACTTCCTGCTGACTCGAGAAGCGGTAGTCCGTTTCGTTCAGGACTCCATCGCAAATGCGGTGGACCGTCAGAAACGGAACGCAGACAAGAATGGAAGAGCAAATGTTCTTTCATTTAAGGTTAACGACCTAGTACTACTGTCTACGGTAAACTTACCTGGACATGCAGTCACTAGTGTCGGCAGTAGTAAACTACTGCCGAAATACATTGGGCCATTTCGAGTGTTGCATCGCAAGGGCAATGCATACACACTCGAATTGCCACGTAGGATGCGCACGCATCCTACGTTTTACGTGGGGAGGCTTAGGTCGTACTGTCAGTACGAGCCTTCTTCTTCCGATGAAGATAGCCCCCACGTTCAAGAACATCCATCAAGTTCTTGCGTTCGCGCTCCAGACGATCCGTCTGGTCGCGCAGATATGATACCTCGGTACTCAACCGAGATATCTCCCCGCGAGCTGTCGCCAGCTCGCCGAATAGGGAGCGGACATCCCGCTCGACCTGAAGCTGCGCCGTGGCATAATCGGCGCGATCCCTCGCCCGATCAGCCTCGTGACCCTTGCGGTTCTTCCGCACGGTATCGGTCAAAGCGTAGCGCCGGTCGCGCTCGTGCTTCAAGTCATCGCGCAATTCATCGATTGCGCGATCCATCTCGTAAGGGTCGAGATGGTGAACCGAATCATCTGGAGGAGGTCTTTCCTCCTCCACCACATCCTTTGGTGGATGCTCACGGTGATCAACGCTTTCTAGTGGAGCGTATCTTGAATCACCGTGACGATTCAGGATCAAGGACGAGCTACCTCGTCCAGTGGCGGGGGTATCCACCCTCTTGGAACAGCTGGGAGCCCCGCTCTCAGCTGTTGATGGATGTTGAAGGTCTCGTCCGCCAGTATGACGAGACCCATCCGATGAGTCCTGTGGCCCATCGGTAAACACGCGCCCTAGGCGCTTGTAGACGGATTGCAAGTTTGCAATCGCGTCACGCATCTCAGCCGAGATGTGTGCCCTTCCCCAGGGCGAATTTAGGGAGTACACATCCCTATGTGCACGCTGCGAGTTGTCAACACAACTCGCACAAGGGTCTCCCCATGTGAGGCAAGGAATGCCTGCCTCACTCGATAAACAATGCAACCGGTACCTAGCACCGGTTGGCGTTCGCCGTTCGAACCTGAGGCGTGTCGCCTCAAGTTTCTTGAGCCACCCTTCTCGTCCAAAATTCTTTACGTTTTGGACGAACGCGTTCCACGCAGCCAAAAGCGATGTTTTGTCACGCTTTTGGTTGCTGTTGTACCATCGATGTCTAAGAAAGACATCGAGATAAAAATCTTCTTCAGCGCGAAAGTTCTTCGCGCTGGAACTCAAGCCGTGAAGCTCGGTTGCATCGAATAAGGGTATTCGATGGTGTTGGCCTGTCTCGTGAGACAGGCTATTGATGAGCTGTTCGGGCAAACGCCACGGCTTCAACTCATCACGCTTCACAGTGGTACCCTTGTCGGTACCACGGCTCCCAGATTGACGACGGCTCGCGCCATCGTCATCACGCTCGTGCGAAGACGCACGAGCCGGCGGTGGTGAGGAATAGAACTCACCACCCTGATCATCGTCATCACTGCCGAACAGACTGTGATGCAAATCACGAGTCCGTTCGTTCGGCAGTGGTCTTGGCGAATACTGAGGCGTCGCCGGTGAGCGAGACGCCTCTGGAGCATTGCCCGAGTCAGACACGTCTGACTCGCCAGAGTAGATGACCTCCACATCAGGGTCATCGTGCGCACGCGGTGTGATACCGCGTGCACCTGCAGCACCTGTTGCTGCAGGCGAAGAAGGGGCGGCAGACGACGAAGCGTCTGCCGCAGAGGCTTGCACAGCACCAGGCTGTGTGGGTCTTGAGTCACCTCGCATAGACATGTTAACTATGCGAGGTCAAGCGGAAAGTGAATGGAACGGACCCAACAAGTGCTCCCTGTCCCAATGGTGGCCAACGGGTGGCCTCCATATTTTCGATAGTCACACGGTGACTATCAGTTAAGGGGGGGTGATGTAACGGGGCAGCCCGTTACATGAAATTGTCACTTTAAGGAAAGTGACAATAAAGAATATAAAGATGGATATTCTTTAAACAATATCACCAAAGTGGTGATATTGAAGGGTCGACCAAAGGGTCTGTTCATTGGTTGATATCGTGATGATATCAACCCACCAATCGCCGCAAGACGCGCGCAATGAGTGGTGACGAGACGTCACCATACATGCAGTTATATTAGTATAATTGAATTAAGTCAAACGAAGAGACAGTAGTTTAAAGACTTAATTCTATTAATATAACAGTTCTACTTTTACCCTACCTACGCTTCCTCGCTTGCCACGTGTACGTCCGTCGGGGCACCCAAATCCCTTGCGTTAAGTTACGCAAGGGTGTGCCCCGTTACACAAAAGGTGAAAGTCAGTCAGCCTACGATCTCATGCCTTTTCAAGAGAAACCGACAATCTTGGCGAAAGCCGACTACAGCAAATTTGACGCAAAAAGTCAAAGGAATATTAAGTATCCTCAGATAGAATCTGCTCTCGTATAGCGGTTCCTTAGCCATCAGGATCGCGTCAACGTTAGCGGGGATCTTATCAAAGAAAAAGCAGTCCTTTTTCTTGACCACCTCTACCCTGAGCATGGTGTGTTCAAGTTCTCGAATGGCTGGCTAAATTCATTTATATACCGGCATGGAATCAAGTCCTTTCGCCGTTTTGGAAAGAGTAATCCTGCTCACATGACACTCATCGAAAAATCACTTTCCTGACATTCGGGAGACGCTGGACAAGTACGAGTGGAAAGATATCTACAACATGGATAAAACTGGCCTATTTTACCGGGTGCAGGTTCATTTTAACAAGTGGTCTTGTTTGCAACATTTTGTGACACTTTGTGCTTACGTTAACATTTTCACAGGCAGATAATTCGCTGGCAACCAAGCAGCTGGAAGGCCGCAAACTATACAAAGAGCGTATCACCTTGGCAGTGTGCTGCAATAGAAATTGGAAGTGACAGGCTGCCGCTCTTCGCCATGGGAAAGTCGAAAAGTCCGCGTTGTTTCAAAAACATCAACCTTGACATCATTGGCTTTTAGTACCGAAACAACAGTAAAGCATGGATGACACAAGCCATCTTCAACGAGTCACTGAAATCATTTGATGCTCGCATGGCCGGACGCCAAATTCTTCTGATCATGGATAACTGCAGTGCGCATATACCGCTTGCTCAACTTCCTACAGTTATCCGGTTGCGCAATACCACGTTTTTTAACTTCCACCAAATACGGCTTTGAAACTTCAGCCGTGCGACGCAGGCTTAATCAGGAATTTGAAGGCCTATTATCGCAAGCGCTTCAATCACTTGCTCCTTCAGCACCTCGAGCAAAATGTATAAGATCTGGAGAGGATTGATGTTCTTCAGGCCATATGGATGGCGGTTGCAGCTTGGAACTCAGATGTCAAGGCCAAAACAATTTCGAAGTGCTTCCTTCATTGCAAGATTCGCTCGGTTACTTTGAGAACTCCTGAACTTACTGCACAGCAGCTGGTCGACAATGAGGTTATCGAAGATCTTCAATTGCAAATCCTTCAGTTGCGGTACCAAAACTTAATGGACATCAGTGTCCTTCTTAACTACCCTGCTGAGGAGGAGGTCGCCTACACACCAGATGAAGATGATATCATTGCTGAGCACCTTCGATCTGATCAAGTGGAGGAACAGGAAGATGACACGGAAGAGCTTTCTCCTGTCATGTCATCCCAGGCACTCGATGCCACGCAGACGCTTGAATACTTTTGGTTGCAGCAGCCAGACCTGAACCAGGACTTCCTTATACGCCTTCAGCAATGAAGGACAAAATTGGGAAGATCAGGACTAATTGACTGGTGCAGAAGCCCATTTTTAGAATTCTTTCCTAAGGCCCATTAACTGCTTTGCACTCAATTTCAAAGTCCTCAATATAGTGAGTATCACTTTGAAAACATTTTGGGACCAGCCTTTGGCTATCAAGTATCACTTTAAAGAGGTTTATTACATATAATATGGGTCCCAAGTCGGGACCAGAAAAGAATAGTAACTTAGGCGGGTAATTACATTATGCGGTATTACTTTAGACAGGTTCTACTGAAGTAGCCTGAAGGCGCAACTCAATCACCAGCGTACCAAAGTAATGTATTTTAGCTTTGGAACACGTCACAATTGGAGCGATCAAAAAGCGTGAATGAATGTGTGGGTGGTGATTGGGTGGGTGGGTGGGTGGGTGGTGGTCGTAACTCAAGTTGCGCAATCAAAGCCACTCCGCCAAAAATCAGGCCGACTCAGGATCGAGGGATCCATCGGAAGCCCTAAATGAGATACGACACTCTCGTAATTCACACACTCCCTGACGCGCTCTCTCTTCACTACACCTTTTGGTTGTGCACCGAAGAGATCCGCTCGCTCTCGTCCCAACATGCGCGTGCTGGGACCTCTCGCAGTATGGACGACGACGTTAGCGGCAGCAGCTGCTGCGACGTCACTCACTGACGCTGGCAGCCGCTGCGACCCGAGCAAGTGGACGCCGCCCCACGACGGCGCGTACAACACCACGAGCCGCGTGGACCCGACGAAGCTCAACGTGCACCTCATCGCGCACTCGCACGACGATCCGGGCTGGACACGCAACGTGGACCAGTACTACGTCGAGAAGGTGCAGTACATACTGGACACGGCCGTCGAGGAGCTCGTGCGCGATCCGGCGCGCCAGTTTATGTTCGTGGAGCAGTCGTTCTTCCAGCGCTGGTGGCACGAACAGAGCGCTCAAGTGCGCCGCGTCGTCAAGCGGCTCGTGAAAGAAGGCCGACTGGACCTCAGTGTCAACGGAGGCTGGTGCATGCACGACGAGGCCACGACGCACTACATTGCCATGGTGGACCAGACGTCGTACGGCCACCAGCTGCTCATGGACGAGTTTGGCATTAGTCCACGCATTGGGTGGCAGATCGACCCGTTCGGCCACTCGGCCACGCAGGGCTCGCTGCTGTCGCACGGCGTGGGCTTTGACGCACTCTACTTCGCTCGCATTGATTATGAAGACTATGGCAGACGCAAGCAGGACAAGGAGCTCGAGTTCATTTGGCGTCCGAGCAAGTCACGGGGAAAGGCGTCACAGGTGTTTACTGGAGAGATCGTGGACCACTACTGCTCACCTAGAAAGTTTGATTACGGCAACATAACCAACGAGGTTCAAGACGATGCTGCGCTCCACGACTACGACGTGTGTGACGAAGTCGAGCAGTTTGTCAACAATGCAAAGATGCGCGGTGATGCGTCAAGGGGCAACCACGTCTTTGTGCCTATGGGCTGTGACTTCCAGTACGACAACTCGCGCCGTTGGTTCAAGAACATGGACAAAATCATCCACTATGTCAACCAAGATGGGCGCGTGAACGTGCTGTACTCGAACTTGTCCTACTACACGGATGTCAAGCGCGCCGAAGGGCTAACGTGGAGCGTCAAGACCGATGACTTTTTTCCCTACGGCTCGGGTCGACATGACTACTGGACGGGCTTCTTTACCAGTCGTCCGTCGCTAAAGCGTTTCGCGCGCGTGGCAAACATATTGTTGCAGCAGATCCGACAGCTGAATGCAGTCTACCAGAGCCACCACTCGAGTACACTGGTCGCACTGCAGCGCGCCGTGGGTCTTGTGCAACATCACGACGGTATCACTGGAACGGAGAAGAAAGCCGTCGCGAGCGACTACGCGCTGCGGCTGAATGACGGTATCATCCAGACCGAAAAAGAGATGAACGAAGTGCTGTTCGTGATTGGTGAGAAAGAGTCGTACCACTTGTGCTTGCTGGCCAACACGAGTGTGTGCGATGTGTCTACGCAGAACACTGAGTTCGAGGTATTGGTCCATAACGCGTTGGCGCGCAAGGCTGTCCAGACAGTGTCGATTCCGATCACGCACAAGTCGGCGGAAGTAGCGGTGCTGTCGGGCGACACGAATGTCCGAATGCAGAGTGTGTTCGTAGCTCTGCCGGTGCATCCTGAGACACATGTCGCGCCGTACTCGCTCGTGTTCAGCGCCGAACTGAACCCTCTAAGCACAACTCGGTTTTTGGTGAAGCAGAAAGGTGTAGACAACGACAGTGTCGAAGACGACAACGTTGTGAAGCACCATGTGAAGCACGAACACGTTGGAGCGGGCGACAGTGCTGACAGTCTTGCTACGAGCGAGAACGTGGTTGTGCTAGAGAACGACTTGATGCGAGCTGAGATCAGCAAAACAACCGGTTATCTCACGAAGCTGGCCAACAAGAAGAAAAACATACAGATCCCGCTATCGCTGGAGGTTGCGTACTATCAAGCCTTCCAGGACGACGGTCCGAAATCTGGCGCGTACGTATTCCGTCCGGACTCGAACAAGACACACTCGGTGACGGACATGAGTCGAGCAACGACGGACAAGCTGTCCGACGTGGCAATGGTGGAGCTGCAAACGACGAGAAGCCTTCCTGTCGATGGTGACGTCGTCAGCGTACCGCGGGTCGCGTTCAAGATCGGCAGCTGGGTCACGCTCGAGTACCGCATGAACGACGATGACGAGTTTCTGGAGATTGAGTGGACGGTGGGGCCGGTGCCGATCGACGACAAGAAGGGCAAGGAGGTGATCGTGCGTTTCGACACCAGCAACAGCATCGCGTCGGACAGCACACTGTATACGGACTCGAACGGCCTCGAGTTCATGAAGCGCGTGCGTAACCATCGAGACACGTGGAACCTGAGTCTGCACGACGACCAGGAGGCAGTGGCGGCCAACTACTTTCCCATGACTACAGGCGCATACATCAAGGATGATAAGCGCCAATTGAATGTGGTGACAGACCGCGCGCAAGGGGTGGCGAGTCTGGTGGATGGACAGGTCGAAGCGATGGTTCACCGTCGCCTGCTTGCAGACGACAATAAGGGTGTACATGAAAACCTGAACGAGACGGAGTCGGTGTATGACGAGACCACCAAGACGTACGTAACGAAGGGAATGGTGGTCCGTGGCAACTTCTTTATCAACGTGGACTCAGCCGACGACGGTATGCGCAGCATCCGCTCGAAGATGGAGTCGCAGTTTTTCCGTCCGCTGACGGCGTATCGTAAGCCCGTTTCGTCCGAAGTGGAGGCGAAGGTGCCGTGGTTGACAGTGGGCGAGTTCCCTTCGAACGTAGGTTTGACAACGCTACAAGAGCAGTCGAAGGAATGTGTGATGGTGCGTCTGTCGCACTTGTACGCGGTGGACGAGCACTCGAGTCAATCGAAGCCTGCGACGGTGGACTTCTCCGCGCTGTTCTCGGTGAAGAACTCGGTGGTGTCGGAAGTGACAGAGCTGGTTCTGACTGGCACGAAGGAGCTGTCGCGAGAGGACAAAGAGCTTGACACGCTGGAGTGGAAGACAACGGACGAAGCTCACGGCTGGTCGCCTCGTTCGCTGCCTGTAAAGGGCACGTCAGTGACGTTGCAGGCGATGGAAGTGCGTGCTTTCCGCGTGTGTTTCGCGAAGGGTGCAAGCATGGGTTGGACGGATGCTGTTGATGTTCGGAGTCCACAAGATGACTCGTTCGGTGCTGCACTGCAGGAGTTGGCTGAGATCGTTGCCGTGGAGTAGGTACGAGGGAGCAGATTGAGAACTCATCAGCTCAGTGCGATGCTGCACGGCACGGCGGGGATGTAGCTATGGAGTAAGTGCCGCAGTTACGAACGCAGATTGTACGGGCAGAGCAAGACAAAACATGACGTTGTACGTGGCGGAGTCTGTTTGTTACATATATGGGTCTAGTTGTTTGATATGCTACTCACGTGACGTCAATGACAACAATCACAATGATGGTAACGACGCACGCATAGGCAAAACCGATGGCAACGAAGCGACTGACAATCTGCCATTTTGTGTCACGCAGGTGGTTCTGGACTGCGGTCGGCAGCTTGCCACTCGCCACAATATCGCCGTCTTCATGGCAAAAGCCCACGAATTGCAATCGACCCGCGCTCAAAAAGCGCCACCAGTACATTCCAGCAGCTTTGATGATCATCCTGACGGCGAAGCGATTGGCGACAAAGACCACGACTAGCAGCCACCAGGACGCACACGAGAGGTACACTGCCTTTTCAGTCGCACAGGCGAGACTGTGCTGTAGATTACCGACGAGCTCTTCCCTCCCGAGTAGGTCGTCTTTCGGGAAGCACGAATCGAATGAAGTGCTTGGCGCTAGAAATGGCGCATCTACGCTCAATTGCTTTGTAAAAGGCAGCGGATTCTCCGGCGCTGCGATGCTGTTGAGACTGGAAGCTAAGCACTGACTTGAGAGCGAAGGAGCAGCAGCAGCAGCAATAGCACCTTCAGCACTGACGACACAGTCTTGCAGCATTCGGGTCATGCTGCTTGTTGTTGTCGCGCAATCATTGAGATCGTCCAGGGCAATCGACTGGTTCTTCCACACGATCGACAAGTCGAATGACAATGCTGCGTAGTCGTTGCGGATCGAGTCGTTGATGACAGTCGCGCGCTTCTGGATTTCATCAAGTGGATTGACAACGCGTTTGCTGCTGTTGCCATTGTAATCGAAATAGGCGCGAGTGACGCTTTGGATGGCGGTTTGGGAAGCCGTGACCGATGATCCTCCACTTTGACAATGGATGTTGTGGTCTTTCTTCCACAGGAACAATCCTGCTGTAATCGCCACAGTACCGACGAAAAGCACGAGGAACGTCACCAGATCACGCAATACCTCTGACGCTTTTGTCACGATTGTGTAACAAATTACAGAAAAGCTGTGCTGGCAAAGAAGTACCTCACCGATGCTTTCGATCGTGTCGACCGTGGTAATGCCCCGGATATCCAACATCGGCAGGTCAGAGTACGACTCCGTGACTAGTCCAACGGCAAGATCGGTGACCAGCAGGGCGAGACGGCCAACATCGATGTAAAATAACACCTGCGTGATGAATGCGCTGACGTCAACCACTGCAGCACGCAGCACAGCAGTGTCAATATCAAACTTGCTGTCCTCATCCGGTGATGACTCCGTGCTTCTCGAGCCTTGATCACGCGACGCGGTGGTTTGCTTTTGATGCTCTTTGTCCAAGCTTGAGTTCGTTGTTCGATCAGGTAACAGGTATTTACGTTGAATGGAGCTTTCAGGCCGGACATTTTGGCGCTCATTCGCGGTGAGCTCAGCTACAAGTCGATCTCCCAGTTTCTGCCACGATGTCGAGCTTCGGGCCACGAGCTTTTTCATCGCAAGGCGCCACTGATCACCCAAGATGTCGAACGATATGGAAACTTCCTGCCGGGCCTGGTCCAAGCTAGTCAGAACAGCGGTACTGGTACTGTTCAATTGCTGTGCAGTTGACTTGGCAGCGTAAAGAAGCTCGTTTTGCAGTTGAGTGGCCTGCTGAACAGTAGCATTCAGCTGATGCTCCAGGAATTCCCACGTTTCGTCAACAGTGTCCAGGACGTCCGTGAACCCATCGTGCAGACCTGTCAAAACTGTGAGAGCGTTGTGGAACGTTTGACCAGCCTTTCGTATAGCTCCGAGACTAGTCGCTGATGATATCGTCAACGGACCCGCGAGCTCTAGCGACACAACTTTGCCCAGGCGGCCAAGACGAGAAGCCGACTGCTGTGTATGGTCACTACCGTCTTTGTCCGACAGTGTCGGCACCATTGGGCTCAATTGCTGTGACGTCAGCGCATACGTTGCATTGAAGGTGTTCTCGATCGACGCCTTGACATTGTCGACAGCCTTCCACATCTCAAGGAGTTGGTTTTCAAGTTGGGTTGTCTGCTCAGAGATGCTTTTGTTCGCTTCCGAGACAACTACCGCTGTCAACATTCCACGGACTGCAAGCATCAGGGTCCGCGAGGAAGATAAAGCATTGGTCTCGGGCAAGGTCTCGTAAAAGTGATCAGAAAAGCAGTCCAGTGTCGACTGTGTCTCATCGGATGCGGCAGCTTCGACTTGTTCCTGCAATGTCATCAAGAAAGCATTGGAGCCTGGCGAAGCAACAGGTCAGATAAGAACACATTGCACGTTCCTGACGGCTACTTACACGTCATTGTTGCGTTCCTCTGATCGGCAAGGACTCGGTCGTTCGCATTGATGATCGCTTGGATGCGTTTGCTGTCAGCTTCGAAGTGCAATTTCGCACCAGCCAAGTACTCCAGCGATCTTTGGTCGACACACTGAGTCATGCTGTTCAGCATGTGGCTTGTAGCACCATACACTTGTCTCGCATCCGCAAGCTCTTTGCGCGCACCCAGCATGTCAAGCACGCACGCAGTGATCTCAGTGGACACATAAATGCCTCCAATGTAGGTGCAAACGATGAAGAGTATCATAAAACTCATGCGTGGATAGTTGCAAACCCATCGCGACGACTTCAAGTTGCTGTCTATGGGACGCGGTGCAGGTGACGGTATGCAATTGTATGCCTCGCCTTTGTCTTCGACGCGCAGCACCTCCGCAGTGGTCGAAAGCGAGCCAGAGGGATGTACTTTCGTGCTCAGGCGGGGCAGCATTGCGCAGGTCCGGGCAAATGACATTGTAAGCATTGAGGCGGGTACGAAACGCACCGAGACGTCGGATACGATCATGTGAGAGAATGCGTAAGTGAACATGTGAGAGACGGGAAAGCGACCGATGCAACAATTGACAACGAAACGGATTGGATTGACATCATTAGCTCTTCGTCATTTCCGTCATTCAATAGTAAAGACAGTGAGCACTCATTTTGTATGGATTAACTAGATTGTCGTTTCATGAGGTAGACCACAACAGTACAGCCTTCAAACGACGCGCATGTCAACTTTTAATCCTCGTACTCTTGCTACAACAAATGCATACACAAAGTTTGACGAAGAGCGCTCAGACATCCAAGGAAATAAGGGCCTCACCCAGCAGTCAAGGTGGCAACCACGACGCCATCGGCAAAACACTGCGAATGTTTAAGGGATACGTTCTTTCATCAACGCGCTCTCGACCTACACCAACTACACCTATAGACCCAACCAAGGACCACTACTACCTACAGGCACTAGCCCCGTGTTGACAAACACAGACCAGCGTCGACCGCCGCAATTTCTCTCGCGTTTAGGGTGTCGTGGAGAACACAACATGAGTAATCCCCGTCGGGTTAGCTCCAAGCAGCCACGGCACGACGTCCGCGATTTGCCGCTGAGCCAATTGCATAACTTTTAGTATGACCATCAGTCCTCGTGAATCCGCAAGTAGCTCCGACTTGCCGAAACAAGCCATCTCCGCCGAGCTTCATCACTGAGGGAGTCTGCGCTCAAACGCTGGCACTCTCTGCCCTGGTGTCCGGGGAATTTCCCCAAGCCGCCCCCTGCTCAAGACCATTGCGGACTCGAGAGGAGGCCCACTTGACTTCGCAATTCTAAATCGTGTTCTGACCACTGCACTCGAACATCTCTCCCGACGCTCAATCGGTCTGCACCAATCATCTCTCGGACCTGCTGATTGGCTACGAAAAGAGGGAATTTTTATTGACGAATCCGAAATTCCCGTCGAAGATTCGAGAGCGTCGATAGAAAAGACAGGCTCAAAGCCAACATGTTCAAGTGGTCCATGTTCCGTCCGCGCTACCGGTGGCCGTCGATGATTATGAATTGAGAGTCGCTTCCAGTTTTGGTGTCGTAGTCAGGCAGAGACCTTTCATTCACCATGATCGCTTGTGATACATCGACATGTAGCGTCGATCGGGTCAGCAATCGCCACGGCAGATTGTGCCGAAGCACAATGACGCCCCTAATACGAATGGCATGCTGAATGGCGAAATGAAGAGTGCCTTGTGGCGATGTCGAACGCAAACCTTACACGATGACTAAGTTGGATATGCCATTCGAGATGTGCCAGTACAAATGGTGCTACCACAACACTTTTGCACCCTACTACTGAAAAGGGTCGTAAATGCAGTTTCACAGCACACTCCCGCATTTGTTCGCGTGTATATTCGCCATCGCTTTGAGCATGTCGTGTAACATCGAAGCGATACCGCGCACTGACCCTAGACTGGTCTTGAATACAATATGCTTTTGAAACAATGTCTGTGCTTTCTAACGTACGCTACCGATGCTCTGGTCACGTTCCGTCGTATCGGCACATTTGCTTGTGTCCCTTCCTCGGATGCTGCTTTCGGATGCCTGCGCTACGTGTTCTTTGTTGGCATGTTCGTTCGCATCAGGGACAGCAGCAAGCGCTTCCATCGCTTTACACACAGCGGGATCGGATGCCACAATGTAGCGTTAACTGAATCCTTCCTGACAAACACTCGTGCGACCTGCTTGGAGTGACGGTGACGCAACAGACGGTCACGGTGCCAGTCTTCTTTGCTTCTGTACAGGGGTTTGCCACTGAAATGAGGCATGCTACAGCCAGTGACGGCAGGTACCACAGATCTTGCGGTGCAGAATCCGGTGGAACATCGTGTCACAGCTTGAAGTTTGGACTATTCGATGAGGGGGCTAAAACAAATGGCTTTGGTTCCTCGTCTTGATGTAAATTGAGAACCCGTAGCCTCGATGACAACTGGGCAAATACACCAACTGGATCGCAGATCGAGTGTGTAGAAGACATACGCCAAATGATTGCGTGCTCAACTTTATATCGATTCGATTGCATTACGCATACACTAGCAAACCGCAACACTCGCCAAGAATCGGCTCGACAAAAGCATCATTGGCACATCTCAAGCACATCCGATAGAAAATCAATCTTTTGCTAGGGACTTTGTCTGCACAGCTCGTCGTCCGCAGGCCTCGTGCACACGGGCTGCACGAGCACGACAAAAATCATAAGGCGAAGCCATTTACGCATCTTCTGTACTCGAAAGCACGTCGGAGCACCTCGCAGCTTTGAACCATAATGACGCCCGTCTGCGAGTCCGACCGACCGAACGTTACGAATACGTCATCTTGGAAGAAACATCTCGCTCCATTGGTGTAGCCTGCATGAATAGTCTCCGCAAACCGAAGTCCATGCAAAAAGTAAGTCATGCAAATGGTAGTCCACTTCAAAGCGGTCGACGCAAAAAGAAGTCCAAGCGAAATAGCAGTCGATGCAAAAAGAAGTCGACGCAAAAAGAGTCCACGCAAAATAGGAGTCGATGCAAAATAGGACTCGATGCAAAAAGAAGTCGACGCAAAAGAAGTCCGAGCGAAAATAGTAGTCGGCGCAACAGCATTCCTCCCAAAAAGCAGTCCGTGCAATGAGTAATCTGTACAAAAGGTGGTCCACGCAAAAGCGAGTCGACGCAAAAGTCACGACACCAAACTAGTCCGCGCAAACCCAGCCAGACTCAAACAAGTCGCGCAGCGTCGACCACTTCATTGACGCCCAATGACGTCGCGGCGGTCTCGATCCTAAATCATTCCGCAATTTGCGCCGCCTCGCACAGACCCTCTCGTCTGTCACCCCGTCGTCGTCTCTCTCTCTCTCTCCATTACCGCACTTCGCCCCTCCTCCTCCTCCTCATCTGTTCTCCCATGGCCGACCTCTCGGACATTGGCCTCTACGGCTTAGCCGTCATGGGGCAGAACTTTGCGCTCAACATGGCGTCCCACGGCTTCAAAGTGTCCGTGTGCAACCGCTCGCCCGACAAAGTGGACGCGACCGTCCAGCGCGCGCACGACGAGGGCGAGCTCCCGCTCGTGGGCTTCAAGGACCTCGAGGCGTTCGTCGCGTCGCTCGCGCGGCCCCGCAAGATCATCATGCTCGTGGTCGCCGGCAAACCCGTGGACCTGACGATCGCGGCGCTCGCGGCGTTCCTCGCGCCCGGCGACATCCTCATTGACGGCGGCAACGAGTGGTTCCCCAACAGCGTGCGGCGCGCGCGCGAGCTCGAGCCCCAGGGCATCCACTTTGTCGGCATGGGCGTGTCGGGCGGCGAAGAGGGCGCGCGCAACGGGCCGTCGCTCATGCCCGGGGGCCCTAAAGAAGCGTACGACGCCATTGCGCCCATCCTGACCAAGTGCGCGGCCCAAGTCGACGACGGCGCGTGCACGACGTACTTGGGGCCCATTGGCGCCGGCAACTACGTCAAGATGGTGCACAACGGCATCGAGTACGGCGACATGCAGCTCATTGCCGAGGCCTATGACATTCTGCAGCTCGCGGGCGGCCTCACGAACGACGAGCTCGCGAGCGTCTTTAGCGACTGGAACAAGGGCGAGCTCGAGTCGTTCCTTATTGAGATCACGGCGCAGATCTTCGGCAAGAAGGACGACCTCGAGGACGACGGCTACGTGCTCGACAAGATCCTGGACAAGACGGGCATGAAGGGCACGGGCCGCTGGACCGTGCAAGAAGCAGCCGAGCGCTCGATCGCCGCCCCAACCATCACGGCGTCGCTCGACGCACGCTACCTCAGCGCGCGCAAAGAAGAGCGCGTGCTGGCCTCCAAGATCCTCGCGGGCCCGAGCGAAATCCCGGCCGTCGACAAGCAGCAGCTCATTGACGACGTGCGCCAGGCGCTCTACGCGTCCAAGATCTGCTCGTACGCGCAAGGGCTCAACTTGATCCGTGAGGCAGGCGTGCAGATGGGCTGGAACGTCAACTTGGGCGAGTGCGCCCGCATCTGGAAGGGCGGCTGCATCATCCGGGCCAAGTTCCTCGACCGCATCAAAGCAGCCTACTCGAAGGACGCATCGCTCATCTCGCTGCTCGTGGACCCGGACTTTGCGGCTGAGCTACAGGCTCGCCAGTACTCGTGGCGTCGCGTCGTGTCGCTCGCGGTGGCGAGCGGCATCCCCACGCCTTCGTTCTCAGCCTCGCTGAACTACTACGACACGTTCCGTCGCGAGCGGCTGCCAGCCAACCTGACACAAGCCCAGCGCGACTTTTTCGGCGGCCACACCTACGAGCGCACGGACCGCGAGGGTCTGTTCCACTGCGCGTGGTCTGCGGCCCACCACAGCATCGGCGATGTGCAAGAGCGCATTCGCGGCAACCTGTAGGAAGCAGCTGAACAAGCAGAGAAGGGTGAGTGCAGTTCTCTACAGCTGACATGTGCTGCCTTTGTAGGCGCGACGTGATCCGAATGTCAGCTCGAAGCGATTTAACTCTGTGTCAGGTCCCTCTCGGTATGCGTCGTCCGTCTCTATTGATTTACACCGGGCAGTCTGCTACAGGCGAGAGAAAGCAGGCAACCGTGCAAGCACCTCCGTCTCGCTCGTTGTTGCGGGATGCACGCCAGGAGGCAACTTGCGGAACGTGGACACACGCATGGCAAGCTGCTCCAGCTCGCCCTCCTTCGCGTACTGCGACGTCAAGCTCAGGAGCTGCACTGCTGGCGTGTTCGCTTTGGAAGACGCGCTCTTGTTTCCTGCGCTCGCTCGGCGGCGGCTTGAAAGGACGCTCCAGCTTTCCAGCAACGTCAGAGCGTTCTGCAGCGTCTCGCGCGAGCACGACTCGTAAAAGCTGATGAGTTTCTCATGGTACATCGTCTCCGCGAGCCACTGCAAGCGCTTGAGCAAGTCCTCTGTCGTCACTTCACCTTGCGGGCGCAGAGCAAACAGACTCGTGACCGCGACCCAGTAGCTGTCGATGAAGGGCCAGACGAGGGTGCTCAGCAGCGACAGCATCGCGCCGTCGACAACTTCCACGCGTACTGATGAGGACGAAGTTGCAGTCGCTCCAGAGCGGAACACTTTGCGAGACTCAAGATGTGCAAGCGCTTGTGCGAGGTGAGCGCTGTCAGCTGCCGGGTCATCCTTGCGCACGAATTCCATCGTCAGCATTTTGTGCAGGAAGGACGCGCCATCGAGCAGCTCTTGACGGTCTACACCTGCTGCATTCGGGACGCTCGATACCGACCTGCTCTTGGCAGTTGAGTGCAGATTGAAGACGTCTAGAGCGTGGTATGCACAGGCCAGCACACCCTCGCGATTGAACCAGTGCAGCAACTTGTTGCGGTAGTAGCCGAGACCGATCATGTTGGGGTATTGCTCGCGCTGCACAACAGGTACACGGTAAGCATGCGTTGACATTTAGTATCTCTGATATGATGACACTTACGCTGGTGACGGCAGGCTCGACGAGGTCTTTACGTCGCGTGATAACAAGTTCATGCAGCAGTTCGAGTGCGCGATCTACAACGTCCGTAGGCGAGCGGCCTTGTGTACCCACCACGCGACCTCCCCGACGCAGGATTTCCAGTCTCAACCGATCTGCCTGGCGCACAAGCTCTGGCTTCGAGATCCCTTGGCGGTACACCAACAGAATCGTGGCCACCACGTGTGACATGGCACACGTTGCGTTCTCGATCAGTGCGTCCGTGATGGCGTATCCCAGATCTTCGACGATAGCAGACGTTGGCACAGAGATGTCCTGCCCCTTCGCGGCGCGCGCGGTTGTTGCATCCACGTACTGCTTCACATCCAACGGTGCACCAAACTTCACCGAGATCGAGCCGAACTTTTTTCGCACGACTGGCATGGCTTTGAACAAAGCCGTGATTGACTACGAAGGGAACACGACAATGAGTGCAAACGCACAAGAAGCATGCAGCAGCAAAGAGAACGTATGACAGCATACCTCCCGAATTTTGCCCTCGCCCAGTAGCTCATTCTGGTGCAGCAATACTTCCAACGGCTTCTCGTAGTCGATCGTCACAGGTACGATGTAGAGCTAGTAGCACGAAACGAGTACGCAAGTCAGTCTTTGAGCCTCGAGCAATCCATCAATACGAAACGACTTACATTCTTGACTTTCCCGGATACGTAGCAATCCACAATGGTACTAAGGATACCAAACTTCGGGTGCAGTTGCTTACCACTGCGACTGCGCGAGCCTTCAATAAAGAACTCGATCGTGTGTCCTCTCGATACCAAGTACTGGGTGTAAGCTCGGAACACAGCGGTGTATAAGGGATCATCGGAAAACGACCGCCGAATGAAGTAAGCTCCGGACTCACGCAGCAGTTTGGTGAGGGTGCCCATGTGCAAAAAGTCTTCTCCAGCGGCAACGTAAGGAACGGGGATGTTGTAGGCGAAGAACACGTAGCTCATGAGCAAGAAGTCCACGTACGATCGGTGAGTAGGGACAAGAACGACACTTCCACGGCGGTCGGCCAGGAGGTCGCGAATTTGAGTCAGACCCATCTCGTCCACATGGATTTGGTCGTACATGTTTCGACAGACCTTCCGGAGAAGCCAGCCAAACTTACGCACAGCCTTGTAATCCAGTTGTGCGGCCATAGTCTCGAGGATACTGGCAGCCTGACGTTCTACATCGTCCAATTCCATCCCTTGCGCCGCAGCACACGCTTTGATCGCACTGCGAACGCCTTCTGACTCCAACACGCTGTTGCGAAGGCCACTGATGGACTCGACATGGGGCCGAGGAACGTGTGATGCCTCGTGATTCACGCCTTCCTTCCATCCAGTAAGCCCCATCACGCGACCGAGCAGCCCGGATTTCGTGTACCCTGGTTTGCGGCTTGATGTGTACGCCCAGGCCACATCCGAGAGCAGGCCGGGAAACGAGATGGCATGGTGGTCTGGATCCCATTCCAGAATGCGCCCAGTGCTCAGTGCAAGTTGCGTCTGCGTGACTCCTTCGATGTCCACGTCGATGACGTCCTCGTGCAGCATATACTTTTTCAGCCCGACACAGAAGTTCACAACGTATCGCTCCCAAGCAATCTCGTGAGAATCGATCCAGAAGTCTTGATTTGCCCAAGGGCCAAGTGTGTTCTCTGCAGCATCTGCAACAAAAATCCACTGGTTTTCCGTAAACGGCTTGAAAAGCTCGACAAGGTTCCGCGCACGCCATGTGAGTTGCCACAGCTTTGCCGCATTCTTAATGTGCCCTGGATGCCCGCTCTTATTGGCAATTGTCGAATAAACGGACGAGGGTAACGCGTAGGTCAGAAACCACTGAATCTGAAAGCTCTGGTGCGTCGGGACCATTGAGAATTTGGCCGGAAAGAGTCCTCGTGCCGGCGGGTTCTTGCGAAAGTATTCGGGTACGAGCACGCATGGCACACGCCAGCGTAACGGGTTTTGCCGCGGATCGGACGTGCCACAATGAACTATCATCGGCTTGTTCACTGTCACGTCCTTGGTCAGCGGGCCAGAAGAGCCGTGTGATAAGTGTGTGCGGCCGTGAATACTTGCGCAGATAGACAGCAAGATACTGTTCACTACCAAATCGACGGGAACAATGTCTGCAACGTTCCTCGGGTCACCCGGCAACATCGTCAACACGCCCATACCTGCAGCCAGGAAAATCGCCCCGGCTGCTGCAATTTGGTCAGTCCAGCCAGGCATGGGCTCTTTCCAACTTGCACCAATAATTGTCGGGCGGTGGATGACCAACGGCAAATTGGGCGCGATCTCTTTTACCAACAGGTGCTCCGTCATGGACTTGGTCAGCGTGTACGTGTTGGGATACGTTCCCATCAGATTCACTCGCAAACGTTCCGCTTCACTCGGTGAAGCTGTCGTGACTGCTTTGTACGCTTCCTGCACGTCAAACTCGAGCGGATACAGCTCCTCTGATATCCTCATGTCTCGTCGATTGCTATTTACATAGGCAGTGGATACGTGCAAATGGCACTGATTCTTAGGACAGCTTTGCACAAATCGAGCGACATTCATCGCACCCATACAGTTCATCTCCACGGCCACCTCGAGCAGCTCATTGAACTGCACTGTCGCAGCCGAGTGGATGGAGATGTCCACACACGCACGTAATAGCCGCGAGTCGTCGGCACTGAGTCCGAGGTCCGGATTCGTCATATCGCCAGCAATTGCGTGCAATTTCTCGCTTGCAAATACATTGAAATCGTGCGGACGTTCCGCGCGCAATCGATCGAATACGCGACTCTCGATGATCTCTTTCTGAAGCCGTTCAGCTGGCGCTACACCTTTGCGGGGCCGAATCAAGACAAAGATCTAGACGTCGCAGAAGTGCACGACACGTTTCGTAGCAATAATTAGCAGCATAACACGGTTATTCGTGGTCAGGGAGGCACCATTCGTACCTTGGCGATCTCTGGGGTGCATCTTAGTAGCTTCTCAATGAGCGTCTGAACAGCAAGCGACAAAGCGGAAAGAGAGGGGGCGTTAGTAAAGCGAGAGACGGTGATGATGATGGTGGTGGTGGTGGTGACGATGATCGATAGCGTGGCAAAGGGGCGAGACCTTGGCTAGAAAGCCCGTGCCGCCCGTGATAAAGAGGCTTCGGCCCGAGTACACTTGCTCCATTGCGACGCGATGAACCGGATACTTTGGGTCGGTAAAACTCGAGGGGACGTTCCAATTGGGACCATACGATTGGCTGAAACGAAGCCACAGCTCTGGTCACGCAAAACGGACGCGTGACGTTGAAGTCCTATTCGTGTTAAGACAGACGTGTCGGTAATGGTATTCCCGTTTCACGATCGCCTGGCCGACCTCATTGGCCCCTGTCCCGACGGCGACCATCCTCCATGCCAAACGGATTGCTCGGGACTCGGTCCGCCCAAACTCGTAGCTGCACGAGGACGAGGCATACAGCAAGTTCGCCTTTCATGGGGACTTTGCACCTGGTACAGCTCACTCTCGAACCCCTCGACTTCCATACCGTAGACGCTTCTCCAAACTGCAAGAGCATTTCACGCATCATGGAGCTTTGGGCTCTTGTTACAGCTGCAACTCGTCGGACGGCCTTGAATCTCGCGGTGTGTGGCCTATCGCTCGCTCCGCCTTCACACGATGCTTGCGCTCTGTTTATCGATCCCCTTTACGCCTACGGCCGCGTCTCGTGTTCTGGTAGTGCAAGATGCATACTTACCACTCTGAACAGAGACCGCCATCTTTTCCTACAGCCTTACGGCTTTGGCACGTACAAAGTTATTGGCCTCTGGCGTGACTGTCTCTACTTAGTGCCCAGGCGGGTCGTTGGCTGCTTCGGGGAGTTGAGCGATGTCGTTTGGTTTCTTTGGTCTTTTGTACTCTGCTACGATCGCCGTATTGGATTGTTGTTGCGTCTGCTTGTGGCCACGGCTTGCGTTGATGCGAGTCACTTATAACGAGATCATGGTGAAGACCAAAAAAGGAGGAATCCTGCCGTGACTATGATACGTTACGCCTCTGTCTCGTACTCGGTTCACAACGTTCTTAATGTCACGTATGCTAGCAAAATGTACGCTGCCTGAGTGAGGCAGCCGACCTTCCAGACTACAGCAATCTTGCTTCGGTCGATGAGAACGTGTCCCTTAACGTGTTTGCAGCAAGGTACGGCCAAATGTAGACAGTGCCGGGACAACCTTGGGATGCGAAGAGGACGCTGACTGCGTGGCGTCCATGCATCATGAGCATCTGTGTCAACGTCGATCGTCGTTTGCTGACCAGCATGAGCCTAATGCTTCTTGGCTAGTACGGGGCTCAGCGTGTTGCAGCTGCAGCCTAGTCTGCGTCTCAATCGTAGCTGTCGTAAGCCCGAATACGCATCAGCCGCCTCGTACGGAAGGCAGGGTTCCTCATTGCTGCAAAGCTCAAGCGTCAACATCGCCAGAATAGATGGTGCTGGTAGAACATGTGCACGTTGTTGAGCACTTTTGCCGGAACAGCGACAGCAATCGCAGATGATAGCAACGCTACGTGCACGCGATTGTATGACAGGGCTGCCACGACATCAATTCTGTTCGACTAAGGCACGCAACGCACAGGAGCGCGTGCAGCGGTTGGCTTGCAGCCACATGGTTCACGCGAAGCTAGAACGTCGAACAACACCTCTGCAAAACGTCGGGCTAGATCCATTCAAACTGTTTGCAGTGTCGAAACACCTCAATCGGGGAACTAAAGTCATTCGCTCATTCATCACCCGACTTCGCCACGCCGTACAACGCTCGTGGGACATAACGACACCGCGTCGTCTGCCAACGGCAATTATGCTGCAGGACAAGCATCTGTGCAAGATCGTACCGAATGCCGCGCGGCCTTTACAGGTTAACTCACGCGGCCAATGAAGCTCACAGCAGGCGATCGAAATCGTTGGGCCCGAACTCTTAGCCGGTAATCACCCGTTCCGAATGTAGATTGTCGTGCCCCACAGGGGTTGGTCTCGGTATCGCTTGTTGCACGTGCATGTCTCATCGATTTGTCTGGATAGGACCGCCATCCCATGCAGCTCACGTGAACACGTGCCTCAAACACTGAGCCGCGCAACTCACATACGATCTGTTGCCTGCAATGGACAATGGCGATAAGACTCTGACTCGGCCACAGTGTGCACGCAACAAAGGCGCGACTGTGGCCCTCAACGTGGTCTGAAAGTGCCAACGATTTCCCCTGCAATTGCTCGCTCCAGAAAAGCCACGTACACCGCATTGGTAATGCTGCGACAACTCCTTGTACGCCTTATATGCGTACCGTCAAAAGCAGCGCAGATGATGCGCGTGTTCGAGTCAGCAGATTGATGTTTACCATGCGTGCCTTTGCAGCAGCAAGTGACGTATCTGGCAAAGCTACGAACATGGAGGAACAAGAAAGCATTCGGGCCGCGCAAAACTAGTGGATTGCAGCAGTCTGTAGAGACTGCTGTGGAATGTGTATGGTATAGCTATGCTGCTGACGTGCAGCCTGAACGAGGACGAAAGCGCGAGCAAGCAAACGTGCAACACGAATGCGCGTGCTCCACCGAAATGCACGGATGCAAGAAGCCGTATATCGGTCTACTGGCGTGTTTTCCACAGCTGTCTGCAGCACCTTTGACCGTAACGATGACGTTCGTATGTTTGCGCGTGCGATAACTCGACCGGCAAACAACAACCGGATGTGCAGCCGATGGTTCTTCCACGGGTGGACGTGGACGCCGCGAGTTACTGCTGTCGACCCTGCGCTCAGCACGCTGCCTCTGGTGCGACGCCTCAACTCGTGCAGAAAGATCAGTTCCCATTTCGACTGGACGTCCACATCTTCTTCTTCTTCTTCTCCCTCCCTCACGCTCACCTATGCCTCGTGTCACTAACGCCGCGCTCATGGCAATATCTGCTATTGCTATCTCAAGTGCCCCCACGGCGTTAGGTTTCCAGTCGGGGAGCGGAGGACGTGTTGTGTGGGAAAACAATTGCGACTTTCATTCACAAGACTACCGATCGATGAGGGCTATTCCCAACGTGTGCGGTGACGTGTGCGCCAGCGACGCAGCTTGCACGCACTGGGCTTGGAACAGCTACAACGGTGGCACTTGCTGGCTCAAGAGCGGCAACCGGTCATCTAAAAAGGCCAAGTGGGGCACGAATTGCGGTTACGTGACATCCCGAAGCGCCGGAAGCTCGCAAGGACAAACACAAGGACGAACACAAGGCCAAGTGACAGTACCCAGCAGTGGTCTGACCTCGTCCGAGATGGGCGAAATGCTCGGGCGAATCAATGCCTACCGGTCGCAAAATGGTCTTCCGCCACTCAGTCTCGACTCCCGTTTGGTGTCGGCGGCCACAATGCACTCGCGTGACCAGGCCAACAACTGCAAAATGACGCATGATGGCTCCAACGGCTCGGGGCTCGGCGACCGCATCAAAGCACATGGATACGATTTCAACTCAGCTGCAGAGAACGTGGCGGGTGGTCAGGTGACTGTGGAGGAAGTGATGACTTCGTGGTGGAACTCACCGGGTCACCGCGCCAACCTACTTCACAAAGACGTGAAGCATGTCGGGTTTGGCAAAGTAGCGAACGATCGTTGCGGCAACTTCGCCAACTACTGGACGCAGGACTTTGGCAGCCTCGATTGAAGAGGAAAATGTGCAAGTGTCCGTGTCCTCGTCGCACGGCTCAATGGAAAGCCGTCGTATTATTCTCGTTCTTTGTAATCGTAGATCCTCAATCCGTGTTCACGTGTGGGAAGTCTCATACATGTAAGTAGTGTACGAGTAGTTTGCAGTGAGTACAACATTCGATTATTTTTCCATCGTGGCTGGCCGCTATGCGAAACAGCGTCGTTCTTATGCAGCAATAATCACTCTAAGCCACAGGCCATTCACGTTATCGTGTGTTCGGTGAACACGCAGTGTCCGGTCATCGCGCGCAATCGCAAGTCGAGTTATTTTCGGGCAAGTGCGCGAGCAGACCACATGAGCGACGACTTTAGTGCTGCTTGTGCTCGAGCATCGCGCGGTGCGTATTTGTCCGACCGTTCCTCTACCGAATAAGAAGAAACGGCTTGTCCGTTGCTGCCCAAACGAAGATACACGTAACAGCAGCCTACAGACCTGCTGTTAATGAGGATGACCAGACAAACTTTCTTGCTGTCGCGCCTTATCCGCATTGAAATCGCTGCACGACTTCCTTATACCAGTGTCTATAACACTCCATTACGAACAGGCACTGCTCGCTAAATCTACGCATGTGCGTCCAACTTGGTAGAGGCATGTGCGCTTGTTGCCCTACTAAGACTTCCTTACCCATTTCGGAGCAAGCGATTCGTCCAAGTGCTGTCTTGTTTCGAGGCCCTGCTGCGGTGCTCCTTCGATGACCGGATGTCCGAACGACGAATACCATCAATGTCGTTCCAGCTGGATTGACCCATGTGACGGATTTGCGTGCCATAGGCACATCGTATGGGTTGGGCTTCGGGGGTCCAACTGACAGCGACCACCACGAAACACAGCAGCGAAGCAAAGCAGCAGCACACGCCCCGTGCTCGACAACTCACTTTTCAATTGTTGTTGTTTGCCAATCCAATGGTTCGTCTCGCTCTTCTTGCTGCCAGCGCCGTCGCTGTGGTCTCCTTCTTGCCGACGACCTCAGGCTTCCAACTCGGCAGCAATGGACGCGTGATGTGGGAAGACAACTGCAGTCTCAGCGGCAACTGCTACCGGTCGTTGGGGACCGTTCCAGCGCAGTGTGGCGATATCTGTGCGAGCGACTTGGCGTGCACGCACTGGGTGTGGAACAACGTCAACGGCGGCACTTGCTGGCTCATGAACGGTGCTCGCTCGACTAAGACGCAGGTGTCGGCCACTAATTGTGGCTACGTCGTCTCGCGCAGCACGCAAGTGCAGGCCCAAGATCAGGTGCAAACCCAAACTCAAACCCAAGCTCGAGCCCAAGCACCGCCGCAGGCTCCAGCTCGATTCCAAGCCCCACCGCAGACCCAAGCTCAAGCACCAGCTCAGACGCCGGACCGGGCAGCGATCCCAGCGCAAGCTTTGTCCATGAGCGGCCTCACTGCTGCTGAAATGGGCGAGATGCTTCAACGGATCAATCTATTTCGCGCACGGTACGGCCTCGGCGCACTCACGATCGACCGGCAGTTGGTGGCAGCATCTGCTTTGCAATCCCGAGACCAGGCGGGTCGATGTCAGATGACGCACTCGAGCTCGAGTGGCCTCTCATTGGGGGATCGCATTCAAGCGCAAGGCTACGGCTATGAGGTGGTGACGGAAAATGTGGCTGCTGGCCAGAACACGGTGGAGTCCGTCATGACGGCGTGGCAGAACTCGCCCGAGCATCGCGCGAACCTCTTGGACGGAGACGTGATCAACGTCGGGTTTGCCAAGGCCGTGAATAGGGGCTGCAATGGCTTTGAGACGTACTGGACGCAGGACTTTGGCCGTCGGCAATAAGCGGACTGACTGCATGGGCTCTCCACCCGGAGCTAATGTGGTTGTAACTTGTAGTGGGTGAGCGCTTCGAAGCGTGTGTGGTGGTGGTGGGCGGTACATGTAGGCAGGTGGTGTATTAATGGGACTGGACGTCGGGTAATCCCCTAATTTGCCAAACTTTTACTCTTTGCTGTACCTGCATTTCCGTCGAACCGCAAAGCGCTCGCAGTAGAAATTGTGCCTTTGGAGGAACATCTGCAATGGTTTTGCTGCACCTCCCGATCAGATGCAGTCTCTGCTGGCGTAGCTGCTGGTCATTGTCGGACAAATTAACAGAAGACGACGCAGGCGCGTGTGTGTTACGTCATATGGCGCGCGCAAGTGGTTCGCGTGACGTGGAACGCCGTTACTACGGATGTATCACCAGAACCTCAGCAGGTGTTTCATCGTTTCACGGAAGTGGACACTACGCGTCGAAAGGCTCGCGAGTGGACCGGCGGACGTGCGCTTTGTACATCATTGTCATCACCCACGACAGGACAAAGACGAGTGCGACGACGAACATAAGCACTTGCGAGCGCAATATCTGTGGCGGACAATACAAACGACATGTCACAGCAATTGGCGACGTCAGGAAGAGACGGCTCGCAGCATCGCAAACAGTCGACACCTATGGCAGACGACGTACCCGCTGGGCACTAGCGTCAGCGACCTCGGACGGTTTCTTCTGCTGCCGCCGGAGCCGCTCGCTCATCTTCGAGTAGCGCTCCCCATTGTAGATCGTCGGGCCAAGCGCCACGTCGAGACCGCGTGCGCTCTGTTTGGCGGCGCCTTTAGTTCGATGCCGCAGTTCCATGAGAAGAGGAGACGGCGATGTGTCGTGTGGTGTTGTGGATGGTGTCGTTTGTAGGTTTAGAGTTCATCGGGTCGCAAGAACACGTGAAACGGAGGGTAGAATGGGTCCATTACATATCGGTATGTCCGCCTCATAAACGTGAAGGCCAAAATGCGTTCATTACATATCGGTATTTCCTTCCCATTTTCTGCTGAGAAATGGATATTTGACTCGCGCGCATTCAACAGAAAGCGTTCTAAATAAAAAAATGGAAGTGTTAAGCTTGACATTACGAAATTTTGAGGCACAAGAAAATGATAGTAAAGGAAGCACTATATTTGATCAGCTCAAAGGTGAATTAGAATGATGACAATAAATTGGGTCCATCGCCGTACGCCAAGTACGTACGTGTCGAAAGATCATCGGTTAACGACCCTGATTTTTTCCAAAATGTAGGAGAAACAATTTGGGCTAGTCCGTGCAGCTTTTCGGCCAAATTTATGCACTAAAACATAAAGAAATAGTACATCGTACATTACAAACAATGATAGCTATCCAGGTATCATTTGTTTTGCTACATGCTCATAAATTTTTTATCAATTTACTCATAATCTATCGAGTAATACAGCATTACTATTTCAAAATTTGACAATCACCCAGAAGGCCGCTCAGCGTGCGTCTACACGGTCCTGCGCAAACCAGGCTAAGGCCTTTGTTAAAAGCAGTAGTCGCTACAGAAACGTGGCAGTCGGCCGACCTCTTCTGTTGTACGGTAGTTCCTATCCTCGGATGGTGAAGTAAAGTCAAGGCGATAATGCTTGGTGTCGATGGGATGGAAGCATCGTAGCAAGTTGGTAACGGCAAAATCCACTTCCACTTTTGCGTTGGCATCTTGCTATTCTAACAGGTCATGAGCCTAATGGATTAAGCCGCCCGCGCAATAGAGCCTACTGCGGGGCCAAAGACAGTGGCTGGTTGCGAAAGGTCCAGCAGTCTACAAGGCAAAGACTTATAGTCAAGCAAGATGTGGTACCACAGAACACGGAGCAAAGAATGTTGGATCTGCTGACGGGATTAGCTATCGTGTTTGGTCAATTTACAGTCAACGTGTTACAATTCATTTGGTCAATACTGAGCCTTGCTTATTGCGCAAGCATGGTACTATCGATGGCATATCAGTCTTGCTCTTGCTAAATTGTGGTGCGTCAACATGTATGATTCGTCCTGGTTGGCTATAAAATTCTCAATGAGCAACGACGTCATTTAGAATGGGATAATGAGTCTCCTATGTCTCCAGCTGATATAGCGTCGATAAGGCGATAACGCACATTGATGAAGGCGAAGTAATAAACATGACGTTTTTGGAGGTTAACTGCCAATCATCCCAACGTCAAAAATAAAGCAGCTGATTAATGAGATTGGAAGATTCGAGATTATAGCTGTAAGCAACAACAATGTGGTCAAACTTGCGCTGCCAAGAAACATTTGCAAATTGCACCTAAGTTTATGTTAAAGATAGTAAGCTATTCCATCACAAAGTAGTCGATATTCAGCATACTTCCGGTACCGAAAGCAAACCCTCATGCTTTATGAGGAAACCTGCAGTGAGTTGCATACCATAAAGGCGCTGGTCAGAAAGTGTATTTGCCCATACATTATGAGTGGCTCGTAGATTGGCACGAAATATATGGGCACGAGTGTACCAAGGAAAAGGAAAAGTCCAAATCGGCATGTAGAATTTGGCGGAAATAGGTACAAGACTTCAAATTCACGCCAACACGAAGTCTTCTCGAGGAATGTAGGGCGCGATGCGCCGGCTAAAGAAGGATATTGAATTGGATGCTCAAAAGCATCCGTGTGGATGCATATTGACTTTCGACGGACAATCAATGCTCTCGTAAACGATGTCATCGTCATGAGTATAGGCAACGAATCCAGTCATAAAATGAGCAGGCTTAGTAGCGTAGCACGTGGTTGTGAGTCATGGACTCAACAAGAACCTTACAATTTGTTTGACAAGCTCGGACATTACAATACCTTTCAGTGATTCGATTGCCGTTTAGCTGTGTATATCCACTTAGTCGTCTCAACAAAGGCTGTGCTAAGCTCATTGAATGAGTCCGTTGGATTCTACAGCCCACAAATCAGACTTTGAGCTGCAATGAATACGCCTGAGTATTATAAGATTTGGTTACAACAATTTGACGTATACTCACAATCAAACCCAGCCCTCGCAGATCGGTTTGCTGCAATTTTGGAGTTAATATTATCAGTAGGTACTCCGTGTCGTCTATCTGCAACTCATGTCTCGGAGTCTTTCAAGCACCTTACGATGATCTTTTCCATTTTCCTGGGAATATTGTGCGCTTGTCGTGTCTCCCTATGCACCGCAGATGACATGTCCGGTATCGTACTGCGCGAAACCTAACGTGAACTACGCATGAAGCTTCTCGTCGCAGTCAAAACGAATTTCACGTCTAGTATCAACTTCACTCTCGAATTATGCTGTAGTTCACGCGTCGTTGCAGTCATGTGAAAGTTATGATGCCTCAACGATTTAATTTGACGCGCTAATTGCTCTAAAATGCAGATTAGTTTAAATATCCAAGAAGTTCGCAAGAGACTCCACGGGACCTTCTCAATTCTAGAAGGGTATCGTCAAAACTCTTACCATCAATGGTAACGGAAGTACTGCAAAATACAATATTTTCGAATTCAGAGTCAATCCAGGATTTCGGTGTGTCACTCCTTCAATGCATCTCAAACCTAATTTTGACACACGATTCTTCTTGCGCGAACACGTCCTACCCTTCCGTTAGCCTATCAAATGATCGGACCTACAAGGCTGTGAATGTTTTTGTGCAGACGCCGATATATTGCGTCACGGGTTTAATGTCTCGCACCGTGTGCCATGCAGTGTTGCTACTTGCTTAAATTTTCATTAGACCTCCCTCTTTCGAATAAAAATTGCTTTGTTGTAAAACATTGGAAATTCATATCTCCAACATTGTGATTTGCACTCGTCCTGAAGATCGTACTATATAAAATAGAGTCCGCCATATCCCTTTGTTTAAAAAAACGAATAAAAAGGTGGAGAGTTAAGACGTTGATCAGGAATACATGTTATGAGAATCAATCACGATCCTTTACGAATGTATGATGCAAATAAGTCCACAAAAATTAATTATGAAAACCGCGCTACGCATTCTTGGATTCCAACGCACTTATTGTCACCGTGCTATATACGACTTTAGCGAGAAGAAACTTCATGCTCTATAATGGGGTAGTGTGCTCTCAGAAGTGAGTCTTGAACGTCCAAGCATATATCTGATGGAGCTGCACAAATCTATCTAACGCCCAAAGTCTACTAGATCACGAGCGACTTTTCACGCCCATTTATAAGCTGATATATTGTGCATCATTACCAGATGAAGTAACACAGAGTGACCATGTGTAGGAGCAATTTTTTGTTGATACACCCCAAATAATCATCAGGTTGCTCATTACCTCTAGAACTTGATGGGTGATACGATTTGCTGATTCGGCACCACCATTCAATGACTTCGAGTTACCTTATCTGGCCTTTCTTGCAATTGATAAATACCTACAGTGAACATTATCACACACTTGGCGAGATGCACCACTTAAGTCTACTAGATTATTTTTATCATAGAAATTGCGATTATGACAATATTGTGAATCACATGGTATTAAATCAATAAAAACATGATAGATAAAACGTCGATTCGATATCGATATCGAGAGCAAGTAAAACTCAATGTTCAGTCTACTAAAGACATGACAATCGAACTTTAGTTACTCATCATGTCTCGCGTAATAGTTGTAATTGAGGCTTAGGTAAGGCGTTTGTCAAATTGGGATCCCCTATCCACATAAGGAGTACGATTAAACCAGGTTTATCATTTTGTGGTGATGAGTTAATTGGAATGAGGACGGATGTACACTGATTACCGGCGCCTACCAAAGTTTCCATGTCCACTTGATCCGATAGGTGGACTAGGACAAGAACTGACTAATAATGCGAAGGTGAGATCGGCATTGAACTGCAAGTCTGGAATCTCAAGTTCAACATACCGATATAAGTCGATACGCGAATCGGTCGATCTGTCATCATGAACGGGCGTCAGTTATTATCGTGAAGATTTACAGGCGAAAGATGGGTAGTTACCGGTCCTGCCGAAAAAAATGAATATCGGTAAATGATGGAAGTTGACTAGGTCTTAATCGGTGTATGGACTCAAATTCAACGAGCGTGTGAGAATGGATATGATGTTGGGGCACGACGGTGATTTGACTATGTACTAGTGACAACATCGATAATGAGCTAATTCGTCACGCTAATGTAATTTAAGTGCGACAAAGAATGGATGTGAACAATCTAGTGCAATGGATATTGACAATAATTATGAAGGTCAATATGGATCATAAATACATGTAAAAGCTACTGTACATTCGATGGAAGCGCATCCGTGTACGAGTACCACTTACATGCTTCACTTGAATGATGATGGTCCATGTGTATCGTCTGAATGGAGCTATCTTGCCAGAAGATATAGATCGATCTTCAATATAGAGGGATTGCAGGACAAATCTCCAACGTTTGATCGAAAATAGTAGAACGATCTCATTCTGACCACTACACTGCTCGCCCCTCTTCGCGAGAGGCCAGGCTTCTCCCGCCCTCTAGAACAACCGGCCGAGTCTTCGCCAAGATACTCGAGCTATTCAACAAAGCTAGTAGCGATCCCTCATAAAATGAAAAGGCCTCAACGGTCGACCGTCATGTATGATTTTGCCGAGAGAGACTTCGCGTTTAGAGCGAAAACAGCTGCAGCAGCATTTCGTTGACAAAATGTCGTGCAATCTTCGATGAGAAGAGTGGGTGCAATACTACGGTCATTCACCGAATATGCGTGTCGACCACCTTGGACCGACATCGGCTTCGGTCGAAACAAATAATGTTGCTTCGCAGGGTCATTACAAGACGCAGCTTCTTCCCTCTATCTCCGTCGCCACCAGCTGTAAACATCAGCTAGACCAAACTGCTTATGTCATTCATGTCCAACTTGTCAGTCGGTAGACAACATGCAGATCCTATTTTTTGGCAAACGAATGTTGATACGAAGAACAAATCTTGGCTTCCTTGTACGTGCTACACTTAGGTAAGCGAGCTCTTCTTCGTTCGCATCGAAAGCGTAAAGCTTGACTATCTGTCACCGGCAACGTCGCTCGCCTCTTTGTGAGTGCAAACGTCTACGCGCACTCTGCCTTTTTTGGATTAGCCTTGTAGAGATGCGCCGGTTTCTACAAGTGCGTCCACATAGCTGAAGAAACACCGAAAGGCATGCAGAAAACGGCAAGCGAAAGCGTCCACATTCTCGCTGTCAAGCTCAAGTAGTCCGCTCATGTATCCTCACACAGCCCGTTATTGCAATGCCTTACAGACTGCAGTCTAGGCTGTCGCTTTTCTTAGCATTGATCAAAGATGACAGTCCGCGTTGACGCGATCGGGGTATGGGTATAGATGGTCGATGTGGTGAGTGAAGCACGATAACGTACCATACTGCGAACCGAAACAAACGCTCCCTTTGCTATGTTGGATGGTGAAAAAGTTGTCAGTGGACTCTTTCCCAGTCAAGCAGCAGCTAATGCACTTTGTATAAACGCAACATTGTATTGACATGCGCTCGCCGAAGGTGTCCGAGTGACTTGGATGAAGAAACATTGACACAGAGAAGGTGGCCGAGTGACTTGGATGAAGAAACATTGACACAGCAAACGGTGAAGGTGCAGGTAAATTACTGATGGCTTGACTCAAAGCATAAAGCTTCGACGTATCATCTCTCGACGCCCTATGTGCATACAAGTCTCGAACTTGTGCTTTGCCGAGGTGCGATCACCACGCAAACGTATCCAAAACGTCGGCAATGCTCCACACGGAGGTGCACACATCGACGACTCTCCTCATTGCTCGATGATCGATTTGCTTGTTCATCACGCACGTCAAACGTGGTCCGTCGGCTGCTTCGTGCCGTACGTTGGCATTCCTGAACGCCAGAGCTTTTCTGCAGTTGAAGACCGACAGTCGTGCACGTAAACCGAGGAATAGATCTCGTGGCACAAGAGGCGCGTCGTGATGCACGAGAGTCGGACCACACACGGCGCCATGACAACCATAGCGACCAAGAGCGCCGTCGCCACGACCATATAGGCTGTGAGGTTGAACCAGCCGTCGTCAAAGTATTCGGCTCGGAACACCGGTGACGTGAGCGCGTGGATGGGCATCGAGAGCGGGATCACTACCACCATAGCACTCAGCACGCCGACGCCCAGCTTGGCCGTGCTAAAGTACAGGAGCACTGCAAGTGACGAGCGCGCGAAGTACGGCCCACAGTCGCCAAAGTGCGGGATCTGGCCACGCAGTTGGTCCTCCTCCGTCTCGACAAAGTTGTGCAGCTCGACGTCGAGGCGGGCGAGCAGCGGCGCCAGGTACAGCAGTCCTTGGAACAGGGCGACGCCCAAACAGCAGAGCAGCAACGACCCGAGCGAGAGCGCCACGCCGGAAAGAATCACGACGAAACCTGCGCTGGCGAGCACGTAGTTGAGCACTAGAAAGATCAGTACCCGAGCAGCGCGCAAGGCGACTGCGCCGGCGTGAGAGGACAGCGCGTGTGCCATGACGGTATGTTTATCAAAGTGCACTGGAGAGGACGACAAGACGAGTCGCTGTCAGCTGCTTGTGGACGAGTTGGGGCTCAGAGGCAGATAGGCGATTGCTGCTCGTTACTCCTCGCAACGTCAATGACAATCGAGAGAGAAGAAGCCGCTGGACGAGGACAGTGTCGCTGCATCGCTCGTGAAGTCGACAGCCGGTGGGGATTAGACACGCCGCTCGATCGTCGATCTGCACGTCCCACGTCGATGTTGGAATCGGTTGGCACGACGATCACTGCGTGATACACACGCACAACGAGGAGTGGAGTGAGACGGACGGACGCAGTTGCAAACACTTGTGCGCAGCAGAAGAACTGCGTGGCAACACACGTACGTACATCGTGGACCATAGTTGGACGAGACGCAGAGGTTCTTGAGGGTCAGCTCCATCGGACACACGCGATGTTTGTGGCTGAGACTGGACGCGCCACTCGGTCGATGTCACATCGACAACACAGCAACGACTGGACTTTGTGCAGGAAAAAGGTCCGACCTGCGCGTCCATACGACACCTTCTCGACTCTTCCAGCGATGTCTCACGCCCGACGCAGTGGCGATGGTAGTGCTGGTGAACGCACAGTGGACGGAAGTCGTCGTCGGACAGTGTCCATCACATCATATGCCCACCCACAAGGACCAGACCCACTCTGAACGGACAAGTGCATGTTCAGTTGCTGTAAAGTCTTTCCAGATAAGCGCTTTGTCTTCATTGCTTGCGTCGTGCTGCCGTGTCGTAAACGACGCGATGGACGATACAGTCCGTGCAGGTCCGACAAGAAGCCCAGTGCGCCTATCCTGAGGTTTCAAACTGCACAAAATACAGCATCGCCACCGGCAGTAGCTGGAAACTCGGGTCACAAAGCGTCTGTGTCGCCTGAAATGATCCAAATTTCCATTGATACACTATCTCGAGCGCGTCCGCAGCATCGTCCGACGTCCAAATACAAACCTCATTGTCATCCGTAAACACCGAGAGCGTCGACGCTGCTAAGCTTCGCCCACTTGTCATGAACTAAAAGTCAACGAACTTGACCTTAAGCCCCCATTCGTCTTCGCTCACGAGCCTCTTGGTCCAAAGAATACGTCGCTGTAAAATCGCACCGTTACCATTTCGTCAAGTGTCTTTGCGGTCGCTCAGCTACAGTTCTCGACAGCGATGAACGAGCGTCTGACATCTGCAGACGAGAACGCTCCATTTCGGGCTCCTTTCGTTTCAGGCACATTTGATCGATCACGAAAGTACATCGAGGACGTGCGCGTTGGCGTTCATATAGTGGCGGCGATTCGAGATAGGGACGACTTTGCCTTTGGCAGCAAGTGTATATCGATCAGCAACGACGGCGAGGAGCATTGGACGTAGGAGCGGAGGCGACTGCACCCTTACTGCAGATGCTGCTGCAGGTTCATCCATCCTGACAATCCAAGTCGCATGCTCTTCGATGACTTTGCTAGAACTGAGGCGACTACAGTCGAATAGCGAAATGGGATCGTCTGTATGCCTGGTAAGACCATAGTAGCTGTACAGCTTGATGCCCGGCGAAGATGGTCACCCCAAGTGAACGAGCACTAGCTGATCGTACTGGCAAGTTCGAGGTCGCTGTCCTGAGGCATGCGTAGCATTCACTACGGTAAATCCGTTACGCTCCCAGCATTTCTTTCCTTTCGCCTGGCATTGCAGCTACTGGCGACCACAGACGACGACAGCTTGTAAAGCGTCGGCAGTCCGAGTAAGACGCGTTCAAAGTTCATGCATATTTTTTCCACCTTCAGTGTTGTCCGCACTGAGTCATTCTTGCCACCAGTCAAAGCTAGAATGGGTGAGCCCATGGCTGTGCGTACTTCGAACGCTTGTTTGCTTGTACCGCCTTCGACAACTGCGTGACATCAACGCGAAAGAGGCGCTCTTTCGACCGCTGATATCTAACGGATCATGTGATAACGCTTCGAGATGTAGCGCATCGAAATGGTGAGGGCTTAATAACTCGAAACTTCTTTGCTCGCCGGCAGCACGGGAAGAACTTGAGTGAACCGCAAAGTCGACATGGACAAGTAGAGCCAGCGTCCACCTCAATGTGATACATCGAGTATCCACCACCACTTTCACCGGAAGCGGCATGCATGCTCACTTGTTGTTGCGGTCGTTGCTGTGGCTTCTTGCAATCCTTCTCACTTCTTCGGCTTCAACGAAGTGTCTGCAGCCACTCGAATGGACTGAATAAGCTGCGATGCAATCTCTTTCACAAGAATCATGCTGTTCTCGTCTTGAGCCAGCGCACGCACGACCGGACGGAGGTTGTACTCGACAAGAAACTGAGCTGGCGACGCGTGCGATTCGAAGAGGAGTTTGAGCATTTTGAGCAAGTTCTTGCGCACAAGTGCTTTCGGGATGAGCTGCAGTTGTTTCAAAATCTTTCTGACAAACACGCCGTTACGTCCAAGTGCTCGGTTAAGCTTTACCGAGCGACTCATCATTTCCAGCAACGGTTCGAGCAAGTTTTCGAACTCGGTGTTCGCAGCGTCGTGAAAACACGTCATAAGCTTCGTCAGGTTTTCGGAAACGAGGAGGACGTTCTCCATTTTCACGGCGTCATGTACAAGCCAAACGCTTATGGACTTGATGGCATCGACTTGCCAGTACTTGTCCTCTAGCAACGCCAAGAAAAGGGTCACACTGTCATACTCCCACAAATGTGTCCGTGCAGTTGACGACGAATGGGCGAGGTCGCACAAGATTGGGAGTGCAAATTGCTTCAGTGGACTGGAATTCCGAACGACCTTGATGAGTGACGGAATGACACCAGCTTGCGCTGCGCGAGTTTGTCGATTGCGGTTGATCCGACATAGGTAGAACATTGACTGGAGCACGACGTTTTCGACCTCTTTCTGCTTGACATCTGAGATTGACGGACCTTCGACCACCTGCTCGTTCAGCAGACGGACGAGTGTCGGGATCGCACCAGCGCGGTCCAATTTCACCAGCGTTGTCGGCTCCATGCTTAGATTCCGAATACACTTAAGCAGCGCCATGGTAGCCGAAACGAATTCGTCCGAGTGGTTCATCAGAGGCAGCGCTTGCGTGTCGTCGTCTACTTGCTTTATTGGACTGCGAAGATGCGTCCCCGGGCGGATCGCTTCCAGTAGTCCTCGTAAGACAGCACCGTCACACATGTGCTCTTTCACCACGGCGTCACCTTGAGAGAACAGTAAGAATATATCGCACGTCTTGTGGAAATCCTTCATCGTCCACTCTGCCATCGATCCACCCTTACTTACTATCGCGTTTCGACTCGCTTCCCTGACACTGCCGTCAGCTTCTCTTCTTCGCGTATCTTTGGTGGACACCGCCATGGCAATGTCAGAGAAGATAAGCACAAACTTCCTCAGTAGCCCCGCTTTCACAAACAGGCGGCAAATGTCGTTTTTGGGAATGGTCTGTATACTGAAAACGCTGAATATCCCATCCAGAGCAATCCGAAGTAGATCCACGTCATGGTCGAGATCGAACGTTGTTCCTTCTAGCGTCAAGAAGTCCACCAACACCGGCAAGCCACCGCACGCAATAAACATTTGCAATGTCAGAGAACTCGTTTTGCAACACTGCTGCACGAACTTGGCTGCTTCCATTCGAACTGCTTTCACAAACCCGTGGTCCTCGGGTCCGTCAATACGACACTTCCTATCGCGTTTACCAGGTGAGCGGTATGGATTGTGTTCTTTCGTGAGTTTGATGATCACTGGCATAAGCCCGACGAGTGCCAAGTTTTCCTGAAACTTTTTGTTGCCTTCGACAATCTGTAAGCACACAGAAGCACATAATAAGCTCACTGATCGACATCAATGAACAAATGCATCTCGTACGATATTGACGACCCTGAGCACCGCGTGCAACACGTCTATCTTCTTCATCTCCAAGGCTTCCATGATGTTCGGCACGACGCTCGGTTGTGACATCAAATCTCGTCCCAGTGTCACGTTCTGGTCAAACAGCTCCTCCTTTACTCAGTAAATGGTGCAGTGTTAGCGAGACCGATCGATTTTCTACCATTCCAACAGCAACATCGCAACTCACCAACTCACTACAAGCATCTAGGATGACTTGATCGTCCATACTGGGATCTAGTAATGACAGCAGCTCCACTACTCGAGCAGTTGCTTTTTGATTCGTGTCGCGAGCGATCGCGTAATCAAAATCAAGCTCATCGTCAAACAGAATTCCTTGCGCGCTCCCATTTGATGATGAGTCGACATCACGGTCTCGATTGCCGCCAACGCGTAGCATCACATTTCCCACTTGGCCCTCGGCAAAGTCAACGTCTCCATCAGTGTCACCATTCTGTGTCAAAACACCAAATGACTCTGAGGCAACGATGTCAGTAGTGCGTACTGTGCGCTTCTTCATAGCCCGCTGTTGCTTTGCAGCCGCTTGTATAAGCTGCTTCTCGTCGAAGTCGTCAAGATCGAGGTCGTCTTCCGGATCTTCAACGAATTGCTGAAGCTTTGATAACCCACTTCCAGCTGGAATCAACGATAACTGGCCCCACGAGTTCATCGCAGACCTACGGTTTATGCTCTGATCGTCGTTGGTATCACGACTGCTATGGCTCACATCTAGTGTTGTCAATCTCACCGGTAAAGCCGCAACTTCGGGCTCTTCATTATCCCACACGTCGTCGTTGAACAAAGCACTTGCGTCTTCGTTGGACAACTGAAACATTGGCTTAGTTGATGCAGTTTCTCGAGCTAACAGCTTGAGCTTGCGGTCTCCACTCCCATCCAGCTCTTCTTTGCGCACAACTGGTGCAGAATTCGAATGTACACCAAGTTCGTCGTCCCAATCGTCGGCATCTTCATCGGGTAACTCGTTCATAACACTCAGAATGCACTCACGTTTGCCCGTCACTGTGGGTGGAACATCTGTCGAGGACGAGCTTTTCTCGTACAACTTGATAGTTTTAAGCACCGCATCTCGATCATTGAGAGACGTGACGTTCTCTGCAACGAGCTGCGTGCTTTGCTCTACCTTGTTCTTCGGAATTTGCGCAATCCATGGATGCGCCAGAAGCTCGACTGCCGATGCTCGTAGTCGAGGCTCTTTCATGAAGCACTTCATGATAAAGTCATGTAAAGCCTGTTGCAACAACACGTACAAGCCGCGCGCCAACTGTTAGCTACGCTTACAAGCGGTCGAATCACTTTAACTCCACACATTCTTACCGGCGACATGCGCTGTGGAAGCGGCGGGTGATCTTCCTGCACAATGCGGAATAGCGCCGCCATGGGCGCCAAGTCGAAATACGGCGGCTTGGTCGTCAATAACTCGATGATTGTACAGCCCACGCTCCAGATATCCGAGGCAGACGACCAACCTGCCATCTCAATCACCTCCGGGGCCACTAGAATGCAGTATGAATCAGATACTCATGCCATGATGAACCACAGAGTAGCCGTAAGACATTCCCATCGCAGTACGACTGACGTACTCCAATACGGCGAGCCTACTACGGAATTCGCCTTCTGCGTATCGTTCAGTTTGATCGCCACACCGAAGTCTGCGAGCTTCACCAGCCCGTCTTTTGTCGTCAAAATGTTTGCCCCCTTTACATCTCGATGCAGCACGCCTTGCTCGTGCAGATACGCGAGCCCTCGCAGCACTTGCGTAATGTACATGGCCACGAGCGTCTCGGACAAGAAGCGGAATTTCTTGACAAACTGCGCCAGTGATCCGTTTTCCATGTACTCGAGCACAATGTACAAATGTCCTTCGGTCTTGATCGTATCGTGGTATTTGACAATGTTCTCGTGCTTTAGCTTGCGCAGCAAACTGATCTCCGTCTACCAAGACGCGGTAGAGGAGATAGGAGGAGTAGAAGCAATCGCAGTTGCGGCAGCGTACATCCAGTAGCAAGATCAACAACAAGAACAACAAAACAGTCCACAGTCTTAGCAATCAGTTTGGACAAGAGCCATCAACTGCACCACAATCAGTGAATCAGATGGCCACTCAGTCAGACTGTAGTATTGTATGCAACAACCTCAATGGCCGACAGCTCGTCCTTGTCAATGTCTCGCAGTGACACTTGTTTGATAGCCACGGAGCGTCCGTTGCGCAGGTCCAGTGCGCCATAGACGACGCCAAAGCCGCCACGCCCGATCTCGGCCCCTAGTTGCTGGTAACATGCGGTTAGCTATTGCATCAGAAACACAGACCTTCGGAGGTTGTGGAGTGACTCGAAAGAGGGACTTACGTAGTGCGTGCCCACGAGCCGCATGTGGTCCTCCTTTTTGTCACTGTGGGTGAAGGCCATTCTGCCGTCACTGTCACTGTCACTGGAATTGGTACGTTTGGCTACACAAACGACTGCTGCTGGAGCGAGACGAGCAAGTGGGTGGCAGCTGGTGGTATTGATACTGCCACTCGTTCTGTCTCTGCCTCTCTTTGTATATATATATGTGCGTGTGTGCGTGATCTGTTCGTGCTCGTCATGGGAAGTACATGTTTTCGTTTAGTGACCGTAATGACGTCTGAGTGGTCTAAACAGTCGGACTGCTCCCTTTCCTTACGGACGCAGGCACATCGGGTTATGGGTCACTCGGCTTCTTTTTGACATCGTTTTGAGCTCTTTTGGGCTCACACAAACACATTTCGTCTCTTTTGAAGCGGTGCGGCGGTGTCGACTACTCGAAATTTTTGGCGATTTGGAAGCTGATATGAGGTCCAAGCGACTTCTGAGTCCGCTCATGTACCTTGAAGATAGGAAGGCGCGATGCTCATCTGCAGCACATGTCCCCTATGTCCAACTTCGACGACTTCACAGCTCAATCGATGAGGTCTTTGAGCGAACATGGTACGGTACAACCAGTGCTCAGTGTCCATGCACTCGAACATTTGAGCCATAGTCCACGTTAGCAATGTCTGATTTCCTTAGTCGTACACGTCTGTCGGTATCTGGCGTGAAGTTTGGCTCCTATAGCGTCGTGATAGAAGTTGATAGCAGTCGGCGATACTCGACCACGTTCCAACTTGCAAATTTCGCAGTCCACCACTCGAGTAGCGCTCTGTCGTGTGCTCGTGTTTAGTTAGTGAAGCGAAAAGCACTAAGGTGCTTGTCGATTGCACGATGAGGCTGTGTGCACACGTGTGAATTCTAATCTCGCAAACTGATGGGGATGTGCTCCTGCTTTTCCAACGCGAGCTACAAGCAGTAGCAAGAGCACACTTCTACATCAGTCTTGACTGCTGCAAGCGCAAACCCTTCAGCGACGTGCTCTGCTTCACCGAAGTGTCACGAACTACGACATGCGACTAAGTCGAATGTCTTTAGAGGCAATGCTCGGCCAGGTGCCGTGTTGCTGCTACAAGCTCGCGCTAGTTCGCACTTGAAAACAGTGCCTGCTCTAACCTGAAATACGCCGACCGCGTGGATCAGCTCAATGGTCGCAGTCGCTCGGAATGAAAGTTGACAAGACGATGTTAAGAAGTGTGGTCGGGTGCAAAATATGTCGATTCGGAGGCGATGAGAATGCTGACGGGTGCCGCTGCGACTACTCCAGAACGGTGGAAAGCATAAACGTACTTCCATTGACGTGCGCGACGTACGGGTAGAGAGTCACGCATCGTGCATTACGTAGTACTCTAGAGACATGCAGTGCAACGGCTCATCGACCGGAGTCGTGTGCCATTATCAACCGAAAGTCTGTTGCAACAATCGCCGTCGACCAAATGCGTGCAACAGCATCCGGTCGCTCCTTCTTGTTTCTTGACACCAAGCAAAAAGTCTGTGTAGTCTGATGAAGATGCTATGGACCCGTCGGTGGAGCCAAACTGCAAGCCGGCAAGTGGTTGCAGCTAGCGCCGAATGATCCATGACTCACTTTCCACAACAGTCACTCAGGCCACCACTCAAAAGTTCACAAGTCGTCGTCGCTGGCACATTCGTTGCTGTTACTTTTTGCCAGAATCGACACCTCAGGCTGCTCCAGCACGTCTTGAGGTGGCGAAACGCTTGACACTTTGCATTGACTAGTAGTCACGTGCTTGCATCAGTGACATGGCGGCCTTGCAGCTTCGGCCACTCGATCATGCGCTGTTACACGAAGAGCAAAAAACATTGACCACTAAACACACTGATGCGGGTGCTCACAGCAGCTTATTTCACCGCAGTGCTAGCGACCGGATGGGCAACAGACGAATGCGAAGAATGGACAGCCGAGCGTCGCCTCCTTACGGCAACACAAGTCGCTACAAGTGTGGAGAACCGGGTTCTTATCTTAAACTCCATAGTACTACCGTCGTTGCTCTTTACGGCGAGCGTCTTTGAAATACCTTCGTGGGCGATGATCGAAGTGAACAATTTATATAAGCAATTCTTATGGGCTCATGCAACGACGACGGACAAAAGTCGGCACAAAGTCAACCCGGGTCTACTCTTTACACCAAAACTGGCGGGAGGTATCGGGCTGGCCGATGTGTCCGTAGCCGTCAACACACAAAGAACGAAGCACGCACTTCTCTGGCTCACTCAACGCTCGGACAGGTACTTTTCGGCGTGGCGTCAGTGGGCTTACCGTGGACTGGAGCACGCAGCAGAACACCCGGTATCTCCAGTGCAGGTAGGCCGTCGGCAACCTCCTCGCATGTCCCGAAGTATAGGACGTGAGGTAAACCAGACGCTGGGCGAATGGCTCGCCCCAACACAGGACCAAGTTGCGCGAGTCTCATCTTGGGTTGTCGCACACTCAGCTTCGTTACTGGAAACGGCGACTAGCTGGTGGGAGGGAGATGAATTTGTCTTATCTTACTCCTACCCTTTTCCAACGCGACGGCTCGGGGTGGGTGACATGCCCGACGAGATCCAGCGTTTCTGGTCCACATTTAACTGGTCAGCAAACCCCTGGATCCGCGATTATCGTGGCGGCATCATGACTCGACGGGCGTACGACAGAATTGAAGACTCTTCGCTGGCACGACTGAGCATCTCACGTACGGGACCGGCAGAATTTGTCATCCTAATACCAAAACCTCCGCACCAACCCCACCACCATTCGATGAGAAAATTACGGCGGTGGGCTACAGCCCTTCTGCTGTCCACGCCAGCAATACCGATCGGCTCACGTCTGGACGCCCACCAGCCACTGTGCATGCGGCACGCTACACCGGGTTTTTCGCCATACACCTGGAATTACCAGGGCGCAGGAATAATCGAGGGCAGCACACTGGAATCTGGGCTTAATCCGACACGGCGAGTCCAATTGCATCAGCTGACCGATGGTATACACTGGAGGTGTACGGGACATTTCCCGGAGCAGGCAGACGGGTTTACGGCATCCGAACGGACATTACGTTCCGATTCACAATCAACGGTTTTCGTCTTCGAGGCGCACCCTCTGCTTCACCGATTTCCGTGGTCAGTCCCGGACACAACGCCAAACGAGTGCGTCATAGCGTGTCTTAAACGACAAGCGTTTGCGTTTCACAAAAAAATTCTAGCCCGGCGGTTAGGAGCTTTTTTGGATCGGCTAGAAACACGCGCAAGCACGGATGACTGGCAACGAGCAGTCCTCAGCCAAACACCTAAGCAAGCATGGGATCATAGCCATGGCCTGACTGATTTTCAAGTCTGGACCGGGTACAGGATCGTGACTGGACAACTTAATCTCCATCACGCTGGGCGGTCCGAGAACGACGAATGTAGGAAGCGACCGGGCTGTCGGGGAAAAAAGGAGACTCCGGCTCATTTATTCTGGGAGTGCGCGTATGCTGAAGCTCTCTGGGGTAAACTCGTTAGTCAATGGACAGGCGAGCGACCATCACGACAGCGCACTCAGCAATTTTTTCAAGCGTGTGCAAGTCGACGAGTGTCGCACGTACCACAGCACCGCACAGCAATACTGAAAGACCGCTTTCAGGAGGATCGGGAAATGGCCGACCACGTCTGGAAGAGAATGTGGCACATTCTTGCGACGATGTGTCTTACAAGGCTGTGGACCGACCGCAATGAAGCCGTCTACAGCACAGTCGTGTCCGACCTCCCCGGAACCACGCAGAGCTTTTGGACTGCATGCGTCTGCCAACTTCGCGCGATTGCGACCAGAGAGCACAGAAAAGAGGCTTCAGCCATCATGGGCGCCGTGCTAGTATCCAGCATCGAGTTGCTCGAACGAGCACCTGACGGGCCTCCAGGCATGTCAAGGGCTAGCCAAAGCCACCCTTCGGACAAACCGGGGCTGGCCGTTTGGCTCCGCATTTACCAGAGATCTTGTACATAGCTAAACCCATGTTAATAGACCATCTGATCACAAAAAAAAAAAAAAAAAAAAAAGAATGGACAGCCGACTTTTGCTTCACTGACATCAGGAGACCCGGTCTCGTACGAACAGTTCCAGGTCCGTGCGCTCAGATCTGCGTAAAGTCGTTTCGGACGCCAAGAATTTGTTTTGCGTCAAGCCAATACATCGAGTAAGTAGTAAGACGATCCCTCCACTTTGTGCCTGGAGGCAGCGGGACAACATCATTGTGTCCCGCTGACGACAGTCTCGAGAGCTGATCCTCTGTATTGTGTGCCCTTATCTACAATCACCGAAACACGAACTCGAAAGCGTGAACTCGAAAGCGTGAACTTGACCTACCCGTAGGTCTCTGCATTTCATCTGCACCCACTTGTTAACTTTGCTAGCGTCATGGGCTCATGAGGGACCCGATGCCTTGTCTATCGTGGCACCAGCTGCAGCAGCTAGGTAACACCAACAAGTATGGCCCCAGTCGTTACGTCGCTTTGAGCAGCTCTAGCGGTCCGTATGCAAACTATTCCAGTCACATGGCCGCCGGACTCAAAGGACCGGCAAGATCCGATCGATCTCATCTCGGTCCACTCCCTCACTCAGCAGTTTCTTCCGCGACAGTGCCAGCAGCACCTTGGACTCGTACCCCTCTTTCTCAGCGAGCACCTTCTCTTTCCGTGCCTGAGTTTCGAGAATCGCCACCTCCAGTCGGTCTCGACGCTCGGCGCGCTGGTCCCTCTTGATTTCGAGCTGCAGTCGACTCTCTTCGATCTCCAGTCGTCGACGTTTGTAGTACGGCCACGTGGCGACTTCCTCTTCCGTCGGCACTGTTTCGGCTCCGATGGAGTGGATGAACTCACTTTCCGCGTGCGTACCACTTGCAGCGCTTCGATCCGTCGATGGCGACCGACGCTGTTGTTGAGTTGTCCGTGGAGAACTGGGGATTGTCGCCTGAATCACTCGATTAGGTACGATATCGCTGTCGACCGGTCGCGGCGTTTTGTTTGAACCCGTTTTTTTGGAACGGTCGTCTCCGTTGCTACCGGCGCTTCCAGTAGACGCTGTCGATGCAAAACGGGCCGGACACACGCGCAGGTGAGACTGCAGTCGATTGATGGCGGCGGAGACGTGCGCTTGACAGGCCTTGCAGTCCACTTTGGGGCACTTGGAGCCGGCCACGCGATACTTGTGACCAAAGAGCTTCCATTCCTGATTAAGTGGTCTGACCATAATAGGAAGAACGTCTGGGATAAAAACGGAATAAAACTCGCGTTTGATTGAAGAAAACGCTGCGTCCGCCGACTCACGGCAAAAAAGCACTTTACTCTTCCGAACGACCGACTGATCGGGATAGCAACAAAACACTTTTTCTTCCGACAAACAGCCGACTGATCCGTGCTCACAGTCAGCAACGACAACTAACACTTAACTACATGTACACATACAGACGCTTCACAAATGAGCTCTTCACAAAAGAGCCCTTCACAAATGAGCTCGTCACAAATGAGCTCTTCACATATGAGCCCTTCACCAGAGTCCTGGACAACTATGGTTCGAGTTCATACTATGATAATTGTTGTCACCAAAGGTGCCGCGTGCCGTGTTCAAAGGCGACGAGAACAACTCCGAAACTCTCGATAGCGTAGACGACAGCAAGCCCAAACGCAGCATCACGTCTTGGGCCTTCGGTCGCTTTGCCGGTCGCTGATGCCAACAAGCACACATGACTTCGACAAACTCGGGCGGGGCACGTTGCAGGTAAATCGGAGGGATCGTTGGACGCTCGCCAGCTGCCACGAGCTGTCGGACCTGATGGTCAAAGTCGACATCGCCGAACGGGATCGCCCCGTTGGTCAAGATTTCCCACAGAGCCACACCGAAGCTATAAATGTCGGTCTCGCGATTGAAGTGGCATTCGTTCGGATTTCGCATGATTTCGGGAGCGTTCCAACGCCACGTGCCTGCAAAAGTCGTTCTCAACTCGGACGCAGCGCCATCGGCCATGATGTCGCTCTCGTCAATCGATTGGAGAGACTGCAAAGAGCATTTGTGCGACAGGTGATTCTTCTGCACTGTATAGTCCGTTGCGATCCGAGAAATGCCGAAATCGGCAATTTTAGCTGTCCAGTCGGCAGTCACGAGTATGTTGGAAGCCTTGAGGTCTCGATGCAGATAAATTGGCTCGCAATTGTGCATGAACGCCAACCCTTTCGCTGCTTCAAAGGCCAGACGCACTTTTGTATTCCACTCCAAGAACGGATTCGCCCGAAGAACGTCTCGAAGTGATCCGCGTGCACAGTATTCGCTGGTAGTACACAAAGTTCACCAACACGATCGTTAGTACTTGCAGTCCCAGTCTGCGCGTCAACCTCATTTGCTCAATACGTACTTGACGAGACACAAGCTGCCTTTGTAGGTGCCCATTTTAATAAATAGTGTGATGTTTGGATGTCGAAGCTGGGCAGCCAAGACCGCCTCCTCGAGGAATTCCGTATGCAATTCAGCCAGGTGGGTCATGTACAAGTCGGCTTCGGAGCTCCTGCTTCTTTTCGCCTGGACACGCAAGCACTTGAGTGCGACGGTGATTCCCAGCCACTGAGCCTTGTACACCTCGGCGCTAGATCCCTCGCCAATCATGACAGCGAGTCCTTCCGTCTCCATCTCCGCAAAAGGACCTCCTGCCAGCACGATCCCGTCTTTGTATCCAAGCGACATCCCGTTCGTTGTACACACCGTCTCGTTCGTACTGTCAGGTATCACCACCCCGTTCCCATCAACCGAGTCAACGCCTGCCGAAATATCAATCGACGACAACAGCGTGTCGTTGTTACTCCGCTTTTTGTCCAGACTCGGCAAAGTCGTTCGCTCGGTCTCCGCAGCGTGGCAGCAGCAGCTGAGACTCGTGCCAAAGAGCAGCGCGTTTGCTACTGGAACGACGTAGTTCAAGGTCTCTGCGACCGCTCCCAGTGGGACCAAATGCTGGGAAAAGACGAGGACCAGTGCAGACGGCAGTGTACAGACTGCAGCCGTGACACAATAGGCCACAAGTCTCCGAATGGCATTACGTCCGTGGGTGGACGCAACCAGTCTCGACGTTTTCACGGCCCAGAGATTCGTCACGAGAAGCAGCAACGGCGTCGTCTGCACGGAAAGCAGCAGCACAGCGGTCGTCGTGTACGCCAATGCCATGTGCTTTCGATCGCGCGAGGACGCCAAGACCAGGAGAACGGCGTGCATGCAGCCGTAGACGAGCGAGGCCAGTGACGACAGCAACAAGCTCTTCTTGGTCCGAAGAGCCTCGAAGCTGCCCCGTCGCATGAGCAGCGACAGGTTGGCGATCCAGTACAAGGACATGAAGAAGCTGGCGCGACCAACGAGCGTCAACAGGAAGTCGCTCGTGTCGTAGGAGGGGTCGCCGCCGCCGCCGCCATCTTCGTGCTGCTTTTGCCGGTAGCGTGCAACGTAAGACGTGTGCAGGAGCTGTTTGATGGCTTCCGAGCCGACAAAGGCCAAGTCGGCCACTGCAATGCCGCAGAGCAGGAGGTCGGCCATGCGCCGCTTTAGGCGGTGGAAGGTGACCGAGTGCAGCAAAAGATAGAGCGAGGAGACGGCCGCAACAGCGAGACAGACCCAATGCACGGGGTACCAGACATCGACCAGCGTTGTGTTTTTGCTGTTGGAGCTGTCCACGGGAGTCATTGAAGAGCGAGTGAGCAAGTGAAGGAGTGTGAGTGGCGCGGGTGAGGGTTATGGCCCACGGGTGCTGAGCAAGCGCACGACTTTACACGAGCGGCAACAGGTACGAGGAGCGCACTGCTGCTGCTTTTCGATTCAGTCCGTCGTTTCGCGACACTACGACTTGACACGCGGAAGAATGGCTTGGCACTTGAGATGGGTCTCCACCACGTCGCCCATTCGATATGTCAGGAGAGAGCGAGAGAGAGAGGTGAAGGATAGCACGACCAAGCGGCGACTTGTGGGTGCGACGGAAGCGGTGATGATGGAGTACGTGCTGCGAGAAGGGCTGCTTTCTTGCATGAACTGGTTCTGTCGACGACATGACCGCGCAGGTGTTTGCATCTCGAAGGGCTTTGACTATGTGTGGTAAGCGAGTTCGTTAACCCTTTACTTTGGAGAGCGTGTTCCTGCCAGACTTGAGGACAGCTGCCACATGCAGATGGTGATCCCTATCGCTACGAACTTTCATCGACGACGAGGACGTGAGACCGTAAATGCGGCCACGCAGTGGTGGCGAGGCTGCACGAAGATTTTCATACGTGCTTGTGCATGGCGCTAGTGAGCTCCTTCTTTGTACACCGCTCGAGGTTGGAGTGCACTGCGATGCATTGAGGCGCACCAGGGCCGGCGATGTGGTATATTCGTGCAAGGTCTTGAAGTCTGGACGCTCAAAGTGCCTATCGCTGTTTGTTGGAAACCAACTGCGCGAGCTCAAGCCCAGTTTATGAGAGAACGTGGCCATGACGATGGTGCACAGCGCCTTGACTTCCGACCCGATCGTCATTACCGACCTTCTGTTCCAAGTCCGAGTTGGCATGTGCATGTGTCCACTCAGCTGCGTGGACGACAATGACAGGTCATTGTACGAACGATCGTAACAATGCAACTACTGACCACCGTTGGACTCTAGCCGAGCCACTCGCTCTTGCGGCAATGGAACGACGTCAACTATACGACCATAGACCTTCTTCAGCGAAGCGGCAGTCGAGCCCGAAGATCGTGGCACGTATACACGAAGGCTTACGGCATTTACAACAGCATTGCGTCAAGAAATTTCGTTGAGGCAGCATACATGCACCTCTGTCGGCACGACGATACGTTTTGGTCATGAATGGCTTCGTCAAACGTAGCTCCACGATAGCATGTGCTCATCTCGATAACCTCATGTCGAAGCAGTTGTCTACCATGCAGCACGTGCGCAGCATCTCTGTGCTGCAAAAGAGAGTGCTGAGAAACATCATCGAGTCGTGCCTCCAGGTCCAGCAGTAGGGGTCAATAGCTCACCAGCCCTGCGTGAAACAAGCACTTGCCGTCGTCATGCCTTTGATCGCTGCGTGCGCAGTTCGCTCCGACTCGATTGTGGCGCCGTCTCCACGCACGCATCAGCTTCCCCACATTGTTGACGCATACTTGTACAGTATGTGCTACTGCTCACGGTGAGAGCTCACCAACTCACGTCGTGGCGGCACCGTGAACCCAAAGTAGTAGACTCGGCCTTCTTGAGGCAGCACCCTCGCTGCCTACCTCGGTACAACTAGTCCATACTTTTCGACATTCAGTAGTAGAACAGGCTCGTTCAACCCGATGATGTGAGAACTTGGGGTAACAATCCACCCATCTGCTCGATGTCAGGCATCAAGTCAAACGGTCTGCGAGTTGTAGACCCGCCTCTCGTCACCCCAAGCTCTTCTCTTGTCGATAGTTAGTGTTGCACACCCTTTGACGCATTGTGCGTGCATGCCCTATGAGCGTCACGATCACGTATGCAAAGCCTGACTGAAGTCGCTGGAAGTTGTCGACAACTACAACGCGAGCTCGGACGAGACTTGTCGGCTTCAATCTTTTGCTTCACCAGCACACTTCAATCTCCGCCATTGTCCACGTCGTCGATAGCCATGTGTTGAGATGCAGTCGCAGCTGTTCACACGTGGCACATGCCAAGAGCCGCGGCAGGTTTTTGTTTCCACGTCTAGAAATCTGTCAACACTGTCGTGTGTTCTAAATACGCAGTCAGGTGGTCAGGTGGTCAGGTGCTCAGGTAGTCAGGTAGTCAGGTAGTCAGGTGCTCAAGTGGTCAGGTAGTCACATAGTCAGACAGCAGTCGCCAGTTCACAACAAGCAGATGTGGAGCAAACATATCGATACGAGACACCACCAAACTCTCCAAGTGACCCATCGCTGTCACCGCTGTTCCCAACAAGTCCATCCACTCGAATTTCAGCCAATCACTCATCTTCCTCCTCGATCCAAGTCGCTCGTCACGCACGTTGAAGCGCATTCGACAATTTGCAGCCTACCGAACAAGTGGCGAAAATCGACTGACCATTCGATCGACTGACTGATTGATCGACCGACTGACTGATTGATCGACCGACTGACTGACTGATTGATCGACCGACTGACTGACTGATTGATCGACTGGTTATCGCTCCTACCGCCATGACCAGCCACGCCCCGTCCGGTCGCTTTGGCCCGCACGGCTTCCGCGAGTGCTGGGGCGACTACCGCCTCGAAGCAGACCTGGAAGACCCTTCGCTCCCGCTCTACCGCTTCCAGCGCGACCTCCCGCGGCTGCCCGTGCCGCCCCTCGCCGACACAGTCGCGCTGTACCTCTCGACGCTCTCGCCGCTCGTGTCGGCCGCCGAACTCGCACACGCCACGGCACTGGCCACGGCCTTTCTGCAGCCCACTGGAGCCGGCCACGAGCTCCAGCGTCGCCTCGTGGCCCGCGCGCGCGACCGCTCGGATTCGAGTTACTTGGCCGCGTGGTGGAACACGATTGGCTACCTCCGCGAGCGGGTCCCCCTCGTACTTAACGTGAGCTACTTTTTCCATTTTGCAGACAGCATTGATCCGCGGCAGCGGTCGAGATGTCGGTCGCGCGGCCGCCTTACTACAGGCCTCCGTGCGCTTTGCGCACGGCGTGGCCGACGGAACGCTCGAGCCCGAGCGACTCGGCAGGAACAAGACGCCCGTGTGTGCTACGGCGTACAAGTACATGTTCCACGCGTGTCGCATTCCTCGACGAACGCAGGATTCGTACCGGATCTATGACCCCGCGACGCACTCGTATGCTGTGGTCATGCGTCGCAATCGGTTTTTTCAGCTGGAGCTCGTGGAGCCACGTTCGCGACAAGTGCTGGACTTTGAGGCGCTGTGCTTTCAGTTGAGTCGGATACTGGACGCTGCAGAAGCTGCAGAGACGGCTGTGGGTGTGCTGACAACGCAGGACCGAGACACGTGGGCAGATGCCCGTGAGGAATTGATTCGAGCGTCGTCGATGAACGAGGAGTCGTTGCGGATCATTGAGAGCTCATTACTGGTACTGAACCTCGACGACGAAGCGCCCGTGACGCGCACGGAAGTGGCGCGCGGTCTGTGGCATGGCAATGGACGCAACCGCTTCTTTGACAAGTGCGTGCAGATTGTCGTGTTTGAGAACGGCAAGGCCGGGCTGGTAGGGGAACACTCGATGCTCGACGGTATGCCCATGGCACGCTACGCAGATTACGTGCTTTCTCGTCTACATCATGGACAGATTGACTTAAGTCACCGTGGTCGAACGACCGCACAGCTGACAGAAGCACTGGAGCCTCCGAGACAAATTGCGTTTTGCTTGACGGATGAGACTCGACGTAGCATTGCTGAAGCAGAAGCGAAATTTGACCAGATGGTGATTGACCACGAAGTCTGTGTGCTGGCCTTTCACGGCTACGGTGCGCGCGTGATCAAGGGATTTCGATGCAGTCCGGATGCTTTTGTCCAGCTTGCCATTCAACTCGCGTACAAGAAGCTGTTTAAGAACAACGTGGCTACGTATGAGGCTGTGCAGACGCGCGTGTTCTTGCACGGACGCACAGAAACAACACGTAGCTCCTCGAAAGATAGTGCCGCATTCACAGATGCCATGGAGGATGCATCAGGTACCGTCACTAGTGAGGAGAAACGGAGGCTTTTACTAGCTGCTGCCAATGCGCACGTTGCGTACATGCGGAAAGCAAGCGCAGGGCGTGGTGTAGACCGGCACCTGTTGGGTCTGAAGCTGCTGGTCCAGCCTGGCGAGCGCGTGCCGTTCTTTGAGGATCCAGTGATGGCTAGAGCCAGTCGCTGGATCATTTCCACAAGTCACCTGACCAACAAACTGTTTGATGGCTGGGGCTGGGGTGAGGTTGTGCCTGAAGGTCTGGGGATCGCCTATAGCGTCAAGAATGATTCTGTCCAGTTCAATATTGCGTGCCGTTGCCATGGTAACTGGGGAGCTCGAATGGGCCATCTGCTCGAGGAAAGCCTCATTGAGATGCAGCAGCTCTTTGCCGAAGCCAGAGAGATTGGCGCCAAATTGTAAGTAGGCGTACAATCAGACACAAGAAGTGATGTAGCTGGTCGTGACACTGGCGGGAGAAAAATATGTCGATCACGCGCACACTTCCTATGACTTGTCAACGAAGCGTATGCGCTACCGAGTGACGTTGACAAAACAAAGCATAACAACTACCTCGCAAAGGGGCTTCCGTCAAGAAGCTGGCTTGGCACGATGTCGCTGCGCACCACAACACGTCATCATCACGCAGCGACGATCAGCTAAATAACGCGACACTCTCATAAGATGGCGCCGTCTATCCGCAGCTTTCGATGTCTATCCGCAGCTTTCGATATCTTACTTCCGAAACTCGCTAAGCTCCTCGTGAAAATGGTCGAGCGCTACCAGCATGACAGCGTACGGCAAATTCTGCTTCATGACCGTGGATCGTGTAAAGGGTAGACCTGCAGCCACTGTGGAGATGCCGACACTGATGAAATCGTCGTCCCGTTGCGTCGCAAGCGCTGTCTTGATGCCGCAATACAAAAAGAAGAAACTACAGTACAAGACAAACATCAGTATAGCAGCAGCATATCTCGATCGAGAGTAGCCAACCTTCACACGTTCGTACCCGGAAAAAGCTCCTCCGGTTACAGCCGCTCCACGCGCAACAAAACTCAAAGCCGCAGGAGATGGCTGCTTTCCATGCTGCTTCAAATACAGCTTAGCTCCATCAACTGCATCCCGTTTTGTATTCGTATCAAAAAGCAGCTTACGGTTAGTATCAATTCCATACTGTCAAATCTTATATTTCCAATGTTTTACGTACTGCCGCCAAATGTAGCTCCAGTGACAAAGCCCACGAGGCTCCCAAACATGAGGCGATTGCGCATGTTACGCAACGCCGCGGGCTCCATCAGTGCGCTCAACCCTGTGCTGCTTTTTCGATCACTTGTTTCCGTAATGTGTGCATCAACCGCTTGCTCCGCAGTGACGCTCGGACGCTTGGACGCCTCCGAGTCGTCAAACGACGACCACTTTTGGGAATCACTCATCTTCAGTTATTTTCTAAATACAGATTAGCTGGTGGCTTCTAATTTCCAGCACTATACAATGCACTCCAGAAACGCACAACCTCACGAAATTAACGGCATTTTCCCGTGTACCTTCGACAGTGCAGGCGAAAGAGGCGACAGTGTATCCGTCAAGATACAAACAAACACGTGATGTCATAGGCGATGCATCCAAAACAAGGTGGGCTCGGATCGCGGCGGTCTTTCACCGTGGTAAGGGCCCTTGGAGTTCTCCCAACTGTTGATATCGTGGCAGCAGTGAGCGCTGTTCGATTGGATTTGGACTGTGCAAAGCGCCAATAGCTAAACGATCTCTTGCGTCAACTATGTGTAGACAAAAGCGACGTCTAGGCATGGTCTAGCGGGAGCGCTACGTTGCGAAAGTCGATTGGCATTCTGCATGGTCTTTGTTCACGTGAAGTCTCATCCTTTTTTGCCTAGAAGTATTACATGTACTACTCGATAGAACGTGCTTCGTTGTAGCACACAATATGTCATCGCTTTTGCTTTGCACCTAGGTTTTAGTGTCGACAACAAGCGCCAACTGCACCCTACCAACTGTCTACATGTAGAACCGGCTTGACATGGCTCAAGCGATACGATGTAAAATACGAAGTAATATCGATAGGTCCTTAGTTCGCATATTACTTGTGCTACCTCTAAGCCTTTTACAAATATAAACCCCCCACTACATCCGCACACTTGGCTTGCTTGGGCTGTCCCGTATCGCCTTCGCATGAAGCGCGTTCGAAGCCTTGGCAAGTTCTTCCCTGACAACACCCTGGTGCATCTGACGCAGCATCTGGGCGAGCGGTTTGTCATGGTAATACTCCTCGACCATTCGGATACCGAGTTCCACGTTTTCCGGTGGTTTGTTATGAAACAAAAGGATCGCCGCATCATGTGTGCTGAATGCATCTGGGTGCTTTTCACCAAACATCCTTATGTACCTGAACCATTCAGCTACACATCGAAGGTATACGGGATCGACCGGCGTGTACCAGTCCACGATTAAATGCCTGAAGAGAACCATAGGGTGCAGTCCCGACTCCATCCACACGTGGCTCATCAATCCCGGAGTTGGCTTTAGCTCCACAAGCAGTTTGTGCAGCTGAATGATCCTCTCTTTTTGACTCCTCGTCAAAGGAAACGACACCAGTAGTTGCGCCACATCCGCTGCGGGCCTATACTTGACCAATATCGATAATATATCCGCAGGTTCGACGTACATATGTGTCGGTATCCAATCGTCAAAATTGTCCTTCAGCATGGCTCTGAAAACCGCCGGGTCCATGGGCTTTTCGCTTATGGCGAATCTCACAAACCTTTGTAAGCGGAAGTCCGTCGAACGGATTATCTCTTCTCGACTTGAAATCGCGACGGTGTCCACATGCTTCGCAGAGGCGACTGTTTTTACGTCTGAGTAAAGTTCTCGCAGCTTATTGGCGATCGCTTTATAGCCAATGGTTTCCGACATTACTCGGATCGAGGCATCAATTCCAGCCGAAGAATGACGCGGGAACATGACGCGGAACATACCTTCATTGTCGACTGCTTTCGGGTGCGCTCGTCCAAATTCACCAACGTACCGGAACAACTCGGATACAACAGGTAACATCTCATCTCCAACCGGACGACCCGAACGCCATCCGAGGATCTCGACAAGCCTTTTGGGATCGATTCCTGACCTCATCCATGCGCCAGACATTAGTCCTGGGAAGTTCTTGTAGTACACAGCTAGTCGTCGATGCAGCATGTCCGCACGGGGTGTCATGCCGCCGATCCGACGGAGCGACAGGAGCACCTTCACCACCTCTGCCGGCTTTCGAAAAAACAAAAGAGCGTCGATTACCTTGTCAGCTTGTTCAGGCGTAAGTTTCGATAGTCGAAGGTTGTTGCGTTTCAGCAAATCTGCGAGTGCCTGCGCGTCCATTGGTTTCTCGCCTCTTGCAAACTCCCGAAATTCCTTGGTACGTTGGACAGCGCGAACGTCGATAGCTGTCAAAATAGGCCGGGTCACGGTTTCCGCAAGTTTCTCCTTTAGGCCGAAGCGCTCAGTATTTTTCGCAACGTCCATCAATTCATGAACAACAAAGTCCACCAGCCCTGCGAGCTCGTTCTCTATCCGACCCTCGCTGTCGCGCATGGCCGTGTCCATCTCAGAGACCCGCAACTTCGTAACGGACGAAGTCGGGTCCAAAGCTGATGGGCTATCAAGATACATACGTCTGTAGTCGGGCGTCGACTCGCTCACGCTTGTTCGACCGGCTTCGAGAGCATTAGCGCCTGCTTGGGTGCAGTCTCTCAGCAAGAGCAAGATTGGCGCGGCAAATGCCGATAGCAACGCGCTATGTATATACATAGTGGATGCGCGTGGGTGCTTGCAGATTGCGAAGTGAGAGGTAATTACAGCGCACCATTGCGGCAGCTGAGCGTGACCTATCGTTTCATTGATTTACAAGCAGCCGGTCTGCTCGTCCCTCTTTCCTGTCCACACAGACCCAGCTGCCTAGCTTAAAATCAGGGATTATCTGGATGTTTGTTGGCTGGTACATGCACTGCGGTCCATTACTTACGCCAGTAAATCGGGATCTGGACCATAAACGCTTCAACGCATGTATATCTTTATTGATAAGAAGACCTAGTCTGCCACGGGGTTGCACGTCGGTTAGTAGCCGGGAATGTTTGTGTGGAATACACTGTGGATAATATCCCCTCGATATTGATAATAGCAAATCATGTATGGGGGCTGACTCGTGTCAGCCACCGGATACGAGATCTTCTAATCGTACTAATTTAGGACGGTAATGTCTAGATTAGGTGTACTTAGGATAACGTGTTTCCTTTTACATGTTAGCCTAAACTAAAATCAGTTCCCTTTTTCGTCTGAAGCGTTCAGTGTCTTTCTAGGACTTGTGCTGCGATTGCTAATGGTTTAGACGCCTCGACAAGGCATATACTCTTGAGCTCTAGGTGCTGTGTGGTTCTACGAATCGTTAGTCCCTTGAACAAGGACGGCAAAGCTCTACGAGCTTGTGTGACTCTCCGAGGTAAAAGTTGTCTCAGTTCCTTAGAGCTAATTGGACACTCTGAGTCGGTCCATTCAGTTCCGTCAAATGAGTGGCTCCTTGATCCTTTAAGTCGTCCTCTGAATCAAGAGCTAAGGTAGCTCCGCTACATGGTCTGTTAAGGTAATCTGAGTTCAGCAGGATTATAACGGCCAAGTGTCTGAATCCCCACTTCCGCTGCGTTACTTATACGATCGCCACCTTTTATACTACTGAACCGCAAGCGTGTATGAAACTTGTGTGCATACAACGAATGAGGAATAGTACAAGTAAGGAATGGCTACGCGTGTGAGAGCTTTATGCAGACTGGTGGTGACGCAAATTATGATCTTCAGTATGCAATTAGATTCCCCTTCCGTATAATAAACTTGATTCGGCTGCCGCGAAGAGGTGATTCATTGTGTAACGGGGTGAGAGTCTTGCTACGGACTTACACCACGAGGACGTTGAGGAAGCGCTCCCATCAATAGGTAAATTGAACTCTGTCTAAATTTCTGTTTCGTTTTAATTCGTAAGAAGTACGAAAGGGTGTTCTCTAGCTCATGCAAACCACTCAAATGAAGATCATCTCATTACTGGCCAATCATTGGATCTGGCATCCCAAGAATAAGCCAATTGCAAATGACATGCAGTACCCGCTAAACGGATACTGCCCTATGCCTACATATGTGATTATGTATTATTCCTACAGCTACTTATGTAGTAGGTTGCCCATTACACCGATCTGTTGATTATGTTTAATGTTCCACACGCATAGTATACTAGGTTGGTGCTGCAAAGTTGCTCGCCTTGTCACGGGGAAACTAGTACAATGGAAACGACACAACATTAAGTCAATCGGAATATTACCTTACGATATTATGCTTACCAACCTGTATCTTACTAAGCATATATTGAGAGAATAACACCCTCGAAGGTAATAAGCATCGCCGCGTTCTACTTATTGGTTTGATGAAAGCCGTTATTTCAACCAAGATAACCACCAATGGCTGCTAAACGCGCGCAATAGGGGTGAGCGGGCAGCTACATTTGACTCTTGCAATAATATTGTTAGAAAGATGAATGATGGTGATTCAATTGATAACCTTTGTTATAGATAGGCTTGTTTTTCGCTCACTTCAACGTGCCCCGTTTCTCAATTAGCGTTCGTCTGCTCGTACAGTGTACGTGAAATTTTGAGGCACCTGCCTACACTTTTTCAGTGTTGGTAGCTTGTACGCTTCGCCAGTACAAGCAGATGGTTTCCTTTTCACTCATTGCAAGATGCCGTCCGTTGTGACAGCTCCAGAGGTCATACGTGTAGGAAATAGGAGAAAGTATGGTTAATGACTTCTATATTAAAACGCGCGCCAGACGCGTTTCGGCCCCCGCCGGGGGTCTCGTCAGTGGCTTAATCAATCTAGAAGTGAGATCTTGCTCTATCCTGCGCTCTACGACTAAGAACCTTCTAGAACTTAGTGTGACCACACCAATCATCCACTACAGCTACCAAACCTGGCAGCTGGGGCGTGACACGGAAAGGAGTGTACGCTATGACATCTCCACTTCAACAATACGTAATAGAGTTAGTGAAGTATGTGATAGTGAGTGATGTTGCAGCGACATGTGCATGATGTATATTGCATATTAGCTTAGTTGTATTGTTTTGTGGCAAGGTTATTTTGTGAGATGTTAGTGGTATCGACAGAGCAACGTATTGGCTCAGTCGTTTAGGAAGGGGGTTCCAATCGGGTGATTGGGGGTTCGAGTACCGCCGTGTGCAAGTTAATTGTGCATGATGCTCACGACCTGGTGTTTGGGGTTCACCAGAACTGCGACCCACCCGCAGTTACATCCCCCACAACCACGCAATCGATTCATTCTGCATACGACAAAGTAGAGTTTTTACCAAAGGTATATTACGAGACGTAATTACCCAGTGATAGGTAAAACAAAAAGAGGTGGAGACAGGGCAAGAAATCGGTGGCTGAGAGTCACCGGCTTCTACCCAGCCATTCGTTTTTGGAGATAAGGACAACATAAATACAACTCACTTTTCGGTTTTCATGCCCGGCCGTAACCCGATTTCTCCTTGGTGACAGCTCCATAGCCTAGTTAAATTACAACAGTATGAACGTTTGCAATTTGTGATGTAGAGGCGAGCTTCTCACGACAGTACGCTGGACTCATCGTTCACTTCCTTCATCCAGCATGTGCTACACGGTAAACAAAGTCATACATGTCCTTGCCTATCTGTTTCTACGAGATCTATAGTCTACTTCCAAGCAAATCGCATAGAAGCAATGTGATTGGTTCATGTAGTGTGATCCAGATCTGCCGAAGACAGATACCTTCAGGTGGTGACCGACGGGTTAAGCTCAAGTCGAAGATAGCATGGGCCTATATCTTCTTGCTAGTTGGTAGAAATCTCATGCGCGACAGCTTCATTGACATACTCAACTCTAACTCGCACAATACCATTGAGCTCAATCGCAGCTCTCATGTAACCTTGTGTGCAAGTCCGTCTTTGTAATGTTGAGCGAAGAAGACTCGCAGCATAGTCTACGCCAGCTGCACGCGTGTCACCCATGTGTATAACTTACTTTTGTGCACGCTAAGGGTCAACACTCTGTTGAGACTAAGAATTAATCGACAACAAGCTGTGTCCCACGCATGGTATGTGTGATGTGTATAATGAAATACAATATCTTTCCTTTTGTCATCATCATAGTATGAGCTTCAATAGTAAGGATATAGAAATCGTGTGATCGATCAGATTTCTGACCTCATCTGCGAATTCAGTCCCGGCCAGGACACACGTCAGTGACCAAAACGGCACAAATTAGGTAAGACCAGTAAAGACGTCGGAATGGGAGATGCAATCGAGTTCGAGACAAACGTACAATATCTTCATGCTTTACTACCACTCGCTCAAGCAGTTCCATTCATGGTAACTTCGACCAGATGGACACTTTCTATGTACCGTGCCCGGTTGCGCAAGAAAACATATACCCGGCCGTCGCCACCATCGATTCACCATGTCTTAATATATGGACGCCAAAATCATTACTGTAAGGTATACATGTTTTGCTTTCATTAGACGCATAAAGAATGTGATGGACCATGAGTCCGCATATTTAGCAACGAGCCTTCTTTGACGTTGAAACGGTTCGCCTTAGCATGCCAAATGACACTATTTCTCCATAATGCAATCTGTGTTATATTTAGGTCGAACTTTGGTCACAATGGACCTTGCTCACACGTCGAAAATTCAACCATGTTGCTTCATTTCAACGATGTATTTAGTGATTTTTAATGGAGAACCCAAAACGCGCTTCGGCTAGACCCGAATTGACAAATGAATGGTGTAGATTGTCGCATTATTGCCGTCGCACCCGTTGAAGTTTTGTGCTACGGTTTGTTCAATTATCCTAATTCACCTCAAGGCGGGGTGTGATGGTAATGGGCAAGTATAGAGGAACATGCGATCCGAGGGAGTGATCGCGATGTTGATACCCACGACTCACAGTCTATGATATAAGTCACATATACCATGTCTTAAGAGTAAGTTTAATTTACAAACGAAGGACGGCGTGTGACCTATTGTGGTACGAACATGCCCCGCGACCGAGATCCGTCGTTCGATGACGAGATCGCGTTCGATACAAGACGGCGTCGATTGCGTGATCCGCATTCCGCGATAGGGAGATCCGCTATGGATTACTAGATCACGGCGAGGACAATATATCAGTATGCAGTTAAGATGTAAAACACATCACGATCCGCGACCCGTGGTCTGCAATCCGTCCATTGTGATTTGCTATCCAAGATCTGCTATCAGAGATCCATGGTCCTCAGTCAGAAATATGCGATTTCCTACCACTGCCATTGAGTAAGAAATCGTGGTGTATCTTTTGGTAAGCACCATGCATTGTCTCATAAGAAGACCACGCATCAAGATGCTCGTGATCCGACATCAAGGACGAGGTCGCGGTGTACTCCTTTAGGTGTTTAAATAATAGTGTGATGGCATAACCACATATTCGATTCGGGGACCGCGATCCGCTATCAAGGAAAGTGATCGCGGTGCATCTGTTAATCTGTATCACACATAATCTGTTGGTGTGTATTGCCACCCGCAATCCAATTTTATATTTAGTGGACCACATTGCACAAGAAGGAGACCTAGAAGATAGACGACACGTGGCACGAATTCGGAGATACGGGAGGCATGGTGGTAGCTTTGATTTTGTTGTTGAATATTGAACGTAGTCAATATTTCTTCTAAGTGCACGTGTCGAATTCTCTTCCAGAC